TATTTTGAGGTATCTGAAAACATATTACATACTTTTAAAATTTGTATGTACATAAATGTTAAACCAAAAATTAAATCATTAAAGGTCTATATTTAGGACAAAATACAAGAGCAATTAACAAATGCTAATTTTTATCTTACATTACAATTAAAATGAAAGCAACATACGTCTTGTGCAGAAGTCTCTTCAGTAGTAGATACCCGTTCTTCAACAAGATCATCGGTATTTGCAGAAGCTCTTCGTTTTCTACCCTTATTCAATCTGATGCTGTTACTAGACGTCTCACTAGTGTCCACCACAGTAGTTCCACATGATGTGGTTGCTCGTTTCCCCTTATTTCCTCTTGATAATCCTCGACCACGGGAGCTGCCTCGATGGCTCCTAGCTGTACTTTCACGTATTGAATTCGATCTCTCTTCATCAGATATTGGCTCCATATCATCCACTACCAAATTTGGTACTTCATCAGAGAATTCAGCACTTGTTGGTCGCACTTCAGAACTAGCTGGTGAAATAGCGACATCCTGCATCAGTTTTGTGAGAATGTCTTAGGGAATGAACAAAATATCAAGGTGGAAAATGAAATAAAAAGTTTTGAAAAATCAGACATTGCAACATTTTGATGAATAAAATCCTAAAACGAACAAGCACATAAAAAAATTATGCTCTGAACCTCATTTGAACGGAGGGGGGATACTTTCCTCCGTCTTCCACGTCCTCGACTTCCTCCTCTTCCCCGCCCTGAACGCCTACTGCCAATGTTACGAAATGAAGAGCTATTTTTATTAACTGCAGATCCTTCATCTTCTGTGGATGTATCCGCTGCGACAATCTGTAAACCATTATCAGCACACTCCGATAGCAATAGTTCATCCGGGACTTCTACTTTTGCTGTAGCTGCTCTTTCCGAAAATGTTAGTAGTAAAGATTCTTCCCGTTCTTCCTGAAAAAATTAGACTTTATTTTATTTTATTTCTATTATTTTATCCAATTAAGTCAATTTTTTTTTTTACCCGTCTATATTATTATATCAAAAAATTCTTCTAAAACAGTTTAAGACCATAATGACAATCCAGAAAACTACCTCAGCCTTACTCATATTTGCCAGCACTTTACTTTCATCCTTGATAACACTACGTCGGCCATCATCAACCGATTTTTTTATATCTGTGGATGCAACACTTTTCTAGAAAGTTACAAATTTCACATTAAATCGGTAATTATAACGAACAAAAACTTTATTTCAAAAAGCTCAATTAATATACTGAAATCTTTGAAGTCTATGCCATATTTATACAAATATTAACATGCCTTTCCAAGGTAAGACCAAAAGACAATAGCTACTTTTTTTTTAAATCGTACTGTACATAAACAGTCATTTACTGAAGCAAAAAAAAAAAAAAAAACCTTTCCATCTCGTCGTCTGCTTCTAGCAGTTTGTTTTTTAGCACCATCTGATGACCGTGTTTCATCTACTGGAGAGTTTTCGGTTTTCATAACGGTTTTCAGCTTATTTCTAGTAACGCGACCTACGTCTGGTGCAAGATTACACAGCAGCTAAAATGCATCATAATCAAAACTAATTATTGGCTGAAATAAACTCTATAAATTAATGAGTGGTCAACATTATGAACTTTTCTAAACAACAGCTTTTTGCTATGATAAAGAAATATCATATTGGAAACAGGAAAATTTTGCCAGCGAGATATAAAATCAAATAAAGATTAAAAGTTGCCGTTTATCAACCCTTATCTAAGTAAGATGCACGTATTATATACATATATAATAGGGTAAAAATACAAATTTATCCTAAAACCTTTTCCGTTTCAGTTGGAATTCGATCTGGAATATAAAGACCACCCAGTTCACGATTCTCAACATCACCAAACCGATTCCATTCATCCGGCGTGAGCACTTCAACTGTTTCATATTCCCAACGAGTAGAGAGGGTATGTCGGTTGTTTCTCTCGATGCTATCCTCCTGAAACAGTAATCAAATACCATAACTGTTGACTTAGGAGAGCTATACAGATCGCTAATATATATATTATTAAGCAAAGAATAAACAATGAAATAGTACACCTAATAATGTAATAGTAATGTGAAAATTAAAATTTAAATGATTACTTAAGTATTGTCAATAACCGACTAATTAATCAATAACTGACTAATTAATCAACATCAATAATTGACTATTATATATATATATATATATAGATCACTAACTATTCTAAAAGATCTTGAAGTAAACTGCGGAATCAGCATCTGCAATCGAAGTAACTTACCGATGAATTGTTACTTCTACTAGTTGATGGCAATAAATGTTCCCTATTCTCGTTGTTTTTCGATTTTTGACTAACTTCATATTCGATAATTAACCGGTCACAACCATCCGTTAAATTCTCGTACGGTTCCCACGTATCTTCACTTTCGGAGAACCCTTTCCACCGTACCTTATAGAGCTTTTCACCGGTCTCACTCGTTTTTATTCCAACAATCTTTTCCACCTACAAATCTGTCAGAAGTTTTAATGCAAGAAAACGAATCTTAACACTGAATGGGTAAATAAAATTAAACAATAATTAAACGATAATTATAAGTGTTACATATCTGTTGAAGAAGTATTAAAGCAACTATGAATGTAAACATTGGAGATAATATTAATAGTTGTCACAAATTCCATAATCACAGTGACGGAATTCAGAAATATGAAACACTAATTATGATAAAAAAATTCGTATTCAGTAAATCAATCACAACAACTGTGTTCAAATTTAATTTGTTAGTTGTTACTTAAAATTTAATCACACCGCATAAGTTTCCCCGACAGTTCTCGACTTCGTATCCAGCTGAACCAATTCTGTTTCATCCGCATTTAGCGTCCCCACCCCGGACACATTAGCCATCACAATTTTGCCGTTATTCTGCAAACTACTGTCGCATTAATCAGTGGATTGATCAACATGGACAAGTTGCTTAGCAGCAAAAAGTAATTACAATCTGTGCCCCCCTTTCTCCCAACAAATACTAACACACCTCCGTCCTATCTGTGTACTCCCATGTTCGGGTCATCCGTCCTCACAGCCGTTGGAGACGACAGCAACGGCGAGATGAAAGAGAGAAAAGGGCAATAAAGGTGACCGGTATTCGCGGAACCAAACCATCTCAACCTTCTTGTGTTACAGTGATAGACATTGAAGGAAATATGCGATCTTTCCATAAATTTTACAATTATCATTTCTTTTACGTTATTTACAAAAATTTACAGCTGGACATGAGCTAGGCCTAATCTCAGTTTTCCTTTCTAAAATTAAGTAAACTTCTCTGTCATTGTATCCCTAGGTGAAGGAAGAACGTCTGTTTCGATTAATTTTTGCATTCTGGAAGGAAGACAAATTCCACTTCGTCCCTCTCTCAATACATTTAGTTACGATTTGGCAATGAATTGACAGAAGCCCGGATAACTTTGATAGATATGAGGAAAGGGGACAAAGCAGGATGAAGGTGACAAAAAAGACTTGCAAATATTTTATTCAAGTGGTCATAATTATTTAATTAACAAATATAACTACACGAATTCTCAAACTATTATTGAATTTCATGGAGATACTTTCCTCCAGGACGTTTCAAATCAAGAATGGCCTCCTCCTCGATCTTACACTCTGGTACAACTAGTATTTCGCGGCTAAGCCTTTGTCACTGCATGGAAACATCTGATTTGCTGCATGTGATACTTTCCTGTGCCGTGCATCGCTGATCGTATCTGTGTTATCTTTCAGAAGAATTATGCCTTTCTCTAATTGATTTCTCGTCTTTAGATTATCATCAGAATTCTAGCATTTTAATGACCTTATTTGACACTAATTTGTATAATTTTCTCTTGTAATAATGACCTGTTGAGATGCACAGTTTAATGCAGTGCATTAAAGTTTGAAATCAAAATATATTTCGTTGTATTCGTTTAATTATTTATTCATTTCTTTCTTTGTCGTTTCATTTATCGAAAATGATTAGATATAAATATGTATGTAAAAAGTTTATTCATTTACTCAATTTACAGCCTTCCTCTTATTCTGTTTTTTTTTCTAATGTATTTAATCAAATATGTTATAAAGTAAAGAATTTATGTATGTCTAACATATAACTGAACATTTTTAACAAATAAACAAATTGATTGGAACAGAAAATATGGAAATGAATGTGGTTTTTCTTCAGATTAGCAAATAAGAAACCAGTCATTCTATTGGTGATGTAAATGCAAAAAACAAGAAAAAAAAAAACAATGTTCAGGTAGGGCAGGCAAAAATGCAATGTGCAAAGCATATGTATAGTGTAATCTAGAGCTTTTTTGCTTAGCTTCACTTCTTTTTCTTTTTTTGTAAGGTCATTGGCAGTGAATAGTTAATCGAGAAGCTTTCAAACACCTCACGAATAAGCTTATTGTAATATGAGATGCTGCATATGTTTGGTAACCTCGACTCTCGATAAGTTTAGCAAAATTAATAATAATAGCTATTGAAGTTAGCCGTGACTTGAGCATTTTCAATTCCTAAACATTACATTGCTTTATTTCGACTACTTCACCCTGAAATGGTCTCGTCATCAAGCTCATTGATTTGTACTACAGTACTTTTGATGCCTCCATTTTTCGTTATTTTGCGATGCAAATTGAAAAGCAAAGCTGAATTCCATATGCTGGTTTACTTACACATGTTTTAAGAACTTAATAGTCGAAGTTTGACTTAGCTGATGTTCATGCATATAGATATCCTGTATAATGTTTGCATATTTCTGAGGAGTCACGCACTTTCGCTATCTCATAAATGGGAAATTATCTAACAAAAATTTGGTGGGTTTCAAAAAGTAATACAATTTCAGGATGAAATTATATAAATTCGGAAGGCAGTTATAATTTTTAGGTAGCATTGGACGAGTTATTGAAAAAAGTGTTGGCGGGGTATCATTTATGTTGGCCGTGTACTGTGTGTTTCGTTAAGAAAATGGCCTCTTCGGCAGCCGGAACAATCAGTACAAAAATATCCCAGTATACACTGGAACGTGCCAACCGTACCCGGTTACTTATTGAGAACTGCTACGCCCAAGCTCTAGCTCAATGCCATGAACGAGAGAAAAGGTTGCAAAAATTGGAAGAAAAAATGGAAATGGAAGGTTGGTCCATCTCACTGTTCGTGTGAATATTCTAATTGTCATAATAATGTTCTACTGTTTATTAGTTTATTTCTTATTTGTTGGTTTGAAAAAGAATTAAGACAAATTATTTTGCTTATCATTTTGCGGCACTTTGTGCAAAGAGCTGACATGGGTCAAAATTTTGCTGAATGTATTTGTGAATGTTGCATCCTTCATTATATTCGATGACTGAACACACTTCGACTTAGTAAATGATATCGAATTTGAAATGACTGCCAAAATTATGCAAAGTGCAAACAAATTGTTTTGGTTTTCAGGTCTTTCGGAGTCGGAAAAAGTAGTACGTCGACAAGTGCACATGGCTAAAGAAACAGATTTTTTGCGATTGAAAAGGACACGACTAACTGTTGCGGATTTCACGTCGCTTAAAGTAATTGGTCGAGGAGCTTTCGGAGAAGTTGGTGAATAATTTGGTTTAAATTAATTCTAGGCCTTTGAAAACTTATAGCCCAAAATAAAGGATGCGATATTAGTATAAGACATAGCAGAAACTGAATGAAGTTTGTATAAAGAAATAACTTTCTAAAGTTCTGAACTTACACATGGTATTACGTTGTTGTTTTTACTGAAGAAATGAATTACCATTCCGGAAACCGGAACATACGTCATAATTTAATAGGATATGAAGTGGTATCTCATTTTTTTCATTTTTCAAATAATAGCTAACGTCGTTGGTAACGATCAAGTTATAATATGAAATTTAAAACGAAGTTTTCCTCAAATTCTTGTGCAGGTACGATTGGTTCAAAAAATCGACACTGGTCATGTTTATGCAATGAAGATTTTACGAAAAACTGAAATGCTTGAAAAAGAACAGGTGATTTCAGAACTTCCCAACTATTACTATTGGTTTTTCACTGTACTCTCTCAATTTATGTTTTATTTTCAGAAAACACCAACTTTCAAAAAATCTTAATAATTTAATCAATAATTAACCGACTCAGTTTTCAGACAGCTCATGTTCGTGCAGAGCGTGATATACTATCCGAGGCTGATTGCGAATGGGTTGTAAAGATGTATTTTTCGTTTCAAGATCCACTTAACCTGTATTTAGTTATGGAATTTTTGCCTGGTGGTAAGTTGATTTTCTTAATTGATTATAGTGGTTAAATAATCAAGTAGTTGCGGTACTTGATCTACAATTTGTTCTCGAGGTAGGGATAGATATTTAAACTTAACTAAAGTGGTGAAGCCATGCAAGATAGTGTCGGTTAAAAACACACATGACTAGGATATAGTTTTCACTTGTAAAATGTCTGTCCTAACTTTCGAGAGAATAAGACCATTATCCTTTTCAAATTAGTAGATTTGTAGCAGGAATGGATAAAACTTGAAATTATTGCAGGATAAATTCTCGGAAATTTTTCATAGTCCTAAAGAATGAGTTAAACATGAAAATTGTGAGAACTGTTGCGTAGTTTCAGGTGACATGATGACACTACTGATCAAGAAGGATACACTGTCGGAAGATGCCACTAAATTTTACATTGCCGAAGCAGCGCTAGCGATACAAGCAATACATAATTTAAATTTTATCCATCGTGATATTAAGCCAGATAATTTGCTACTGGATTCAAAATTAAGTTTTTCGAAAATGAAATCAAATAATCTTTACTTGATGGTTTTTAAGGAAGAATATTTATTTTATACATATTGATAACAATTAGGTTAAAAAACTAGTTGAACATGTAAATTTATTTCTAGCTGCAAGAATTATTTTTCTCTATTTTCCTTCCTTCAGCTGCAGTTTCGTCCACAGACGCTTTGTGATATAGCCACCATTTTTCAGGGGCACATAAAGCTGTCAGATTTTGGATTGTGCACAGGCCTTAAAAAGGCCCATCGAACCGAATACTATCGAAATTGGCCAAGTCAACTGCCAAAGGATTTTGTAACAAAACCGCTTGGATCAAAGCGAAAAGCCGAAACATGGAAGAGAAACAGACGGGCAATTGTACTTTAGTTTTTCAAACACCATATTCTTTATAAACGATCACTACAAAATTCTTTTATTTACTAATTTAAACTTCTAGACATTAAATGTTCTCTGCTTAGTTTTCCTAGGGTTCTATCAGTTAATTTTTCGAGCTTGGAATCATTTTCAGTTTTTTATTGCATTGAGTCTTTCTTAAAAAATTTTTAAATTCGGAATTCGGAGTTTCAATGTTGTTTATGTTGGCACTTAGAGCTTACAATAATTAAAAAAAAAAAAATGAACTCTCAGGCTTATTCAACGGTGGGTACACCAGATTATATTGCGCCAGAAATTTTTCAACCGAATGGTTATACGAAGGCATGTGATTGGTGGTCTCTCGGTGTTATTATGTATGAAATGCTTATCGGTGGGTATTTGATAGATTCCAGTATAAAAGCTCGTTGAGTTGAGGTCTTAAAATGCTGATCTTCATAATAGCGGTGTACTGAGGCTTTAAATTTAAAGGATAGTCAAATTTTTATTTGAAATTGTTTTTATTGATTTATGATATACAATTTTGCAGGTTATCCACCGTTCTGTTCTGAAACACCTCAAGAAACATATCGAAAAGTTATTAACTGGAAACAGACGTTGTTATTTCCACCAGAAATGCCAATCTCTGTAGATGCTAAAACAGTAGGTTAAATCATAGGTTATAGTTTCTATAATTTGAACATTGGCGTACTTCCTTAGCCAGGTGATGATTATAATAGTTTATAGTAAAGATGGTGATCTGAAATTTAATGCTATTTAATGCCGTCGGCTGGTTGCAACAGAATTCGGAAAATGATTACTCAATAAGTTGATTACTCAAGCGGCAAATAGTGAAAAAAATAGTAATGATTACTCAAGCGGCAAATAGTGAAAAATAACTATTACCAGAAACTCAATTAACACCAGAAATTTGATTAATGTCAGTGTTTCAGACAATCAAGAAATTCTGTTCAGAACCGGAGCATCGTTTAGGTCAAAGTGATGGTGTTGAAGAGCTAAAGACATGTCAGTTTTTCCGTGGAATCGATTGGAACAACATCAGGTAGATATAACAGCAGAGTTTTCAACTGTAAACTTTTGAAGTTATATGCAGTCCTCGAATTTTTTATTTACATTCTGTGAATTTATCGAAAATTCTCACTATTCCTTTTTTCGGAGTTTCCTACTTTTTTTGCATTTATTAATATTTTGACATCTGAGAGGTCTTACCAAAAGAGGTATTAGGCGATAGTTTGTTTTTTGATTTACTCCTTTCCGTTTAGGAAGTGTCCGGCACCCATCCGTGTTGATGTGAAAAGCATCGATGATACTTCAAATTTTGATGAATTTCCAGATGCCGATTTAAGCATTCGTAAGTTTATTATCTTACTTTTGCTTAGCTTTTAGCGTCAGCTATCACAAAAGTAGTTCTGCCTTCCGTTTTCATTAATTATATTAAAAATTCATTTTTTTTTTCCGCTGATTACAAACCGGATGTTGGTGCGACTAAGCAGCAACTTGGCGATAGAGGAGAATTCTCAAATTATACTTATCGGCGATTTGATGGATTAACACAAAATCGTCAGTTCAGAAAGAAATGTGTGAGGTTTTTTATGCTTACTCAATTTTTAGAGTTTAATTTTTAAATCAAATTGTGAAATTTCAGGTCTTACTATTTTCAATGTGATAATAATTTACCTATGTCTGTTTTTATGTTGTTACTATTACTACTTGTTCAATAATAAGTCACTGAAGAATGAAAATTGAATTTTTTATCTGAAACTGAGTAATATCAATCATCGATCTATTTAAATTTACTGACAGTTTTATTTTTTGATGAGTTATTTCATTTAATAAACTGCTGTTTATAGTCCACCAATGAAGATGCAGGAGATTAGTGGGCATCATCAGTGAAATTTAATGCTGCATCGCCTGGCAGATTACGAATATTTCAAAACAAGGAATTCTTGGTGGATATTTTATTGGAAAACTGTAACACTTGCTTTTTCCTGTTTTGTAGCGTTTTGTAGCGGTTTCATATATTTATGCATGATTTCCTTTTAGTTATTTCTTACTTAGGGGGGGTGGGTTATATATACAGTTTTTTTCTTTTTATAAATTCATATGTTGTAATTAATATAGTGATTTTTGTTGTAATAAGTTTTTTATGACTTTTTAGGTTTGAAAAAACCCTTTATTTTTGTGGTTTCTTCATCTCTTCTTTGTATTTATATCTAAGGTGAGATAAACAATTTAAGACTAGGAACTTATTTCAGCAGTTTTTAAAATTATATATATATATGCAAATTTTTGAGATTCTGTATTACTATAATAACGCGAATCACAGACCTATCAAAAGTGAAATTGATTTAAGTCAAAGTTAATTTAGGGGAGTATTGCTGCAATAATGTTAGATAAATTTTACCTTAATCTGTAAAATAATTAGTTTAGGCAGCGCTGATTTATTTCATTTTGATTATATATTTTACTCGGTTATTGTTATAAGGACTACTGGAGTAAGACTTTGTTGCCAGGGTTACCGAAGAAGGACTAAAAAAACATTAAAGTAACATTTCCACAAATTTTCATGATTAGAAATGATTGTTTAGCAATGGAAGAGTGAGATAATTGTTGTTCTTTCGGAATAATTTATTTCATCTTTGTATGGTTGTCCATTGTCATTTATGATTAATAATGCATGGTACCCTACAGTTAAGCTCCTGTTTCGTTTGTCAATTCCCATTTCTACTGTCTGTAATTTAGTTATAGGCATGTTCTGTTTTCTTTTCTTTTTTTCTTTTTTTTTTTGGTTTTGCTTGATTTTGCATCAGTTACTTGCACTTAGTTGTAAACAATTTAACATATTGTAATATTTCATATGGATTGCACAAAGAATTACTATCAAAGTAAGCAATTTACTCTTTCGTTTTAGTTGTATTTTTCCTGTCAGGGTATATCTCTTTTTCTCATGTGATATATAAATATTTCACTTCTACACATCGTTATAATTTCCGATAGAATCTATCATCGCGAAATGTGAATGATGAGTGAAAGAAAAGATAGTTATTTGGAACAAATTTTTGCGAAATGGAATAATTAGATTTTAGCTAAAATTGAACTGAACAAATGTTGTATCTGGACTTCCTATTGTCGCCTGTGTATGGTTATGTTGTAATGAACATTATTATTATCTTTACTTCTTTGTGATTCAGTTAAATTAAAAATTGGTTTTTCTAGTTGATAGATGGGATGGAAATGGACATGTGCGAATTATATGATTCTAATGATAGCAGTCATGCTTACTCCGTTGCACGATTACATCTTTAAACTAACCTAAATCTTGCATTTTCTATTAATGTTGTCATTCCATCACTTGGCAGTAATATTCAGGAGTTCTGTACTTTATATGAATAAATGTTTTTCTAATATTTTAATATTTAATTTGTGCTGGATAAATAAAACCACAATGCATTTTACACTGATTGCATAAGTGTTAGCAGAAAAAAAGAAGAAAGAAAAGTTGTATTAGCTGTGCCTTCACAATATTTCCGGTCGTAATAATTGCTTCAGGAGATGACAGTCATTCACATTTCACTCGGATAACTCAGTTTGTAATATCTTCTAGTTCTACATGCTTCATTCATCCCTTTTGTGCTATTATGCTTCTCTGATTACCTATTTTGACAATTTGTTTCTGTTTAATCTTTTTAGCTGTTCATTTCTCTAATTGCTTAATTACTTACTTTTCTTTGGTTATTTTGCTTTATCTTAATTTTCTTTTTTCTCATTTTTCGTTATGAGATTTTCTTTGTTTTTGCTGATAGCATGAAAAAGAAAGAAAATTAAGATAAAGCAAAAAAAAAAAAAAAAAAAAAGAAGGAAGAAATGGTTCTCCGTTTATTGATATTCTTCCATAAGCATGTGTTTTTAATGCTAAAACTTTGCTAGATTTTCGGGAAACTTTGAGTTTCAGCATGTATTTTTGCAGTGCAGTAATGCTGCATGTAATAAATGTAGTAAGCTGATATAAACAGATGAAAGCTAATGAAATTGTCATGGGAAACTACTATCACGAGATTGTCTCCGAGAAGTAATGTGATTGAAATCATCATTCGAAATTGCTGTAGTGGAAGTATTACTCGGAGAATACTGGTATGGCACTTGGTTTTTATGAAAATTTTCCCAACTTTTACCATTGAACTGTGCATAAATTGTAAATATACTGTCACCATTATCATATCACTAGCATTTTGATCTTAAATCATATTTTTTATTCATTTTATCTATATGAGATGACATTCTAGGTCAAAAAGATTCTCATCCACAATATATCATTGCATTCCAAACTGTCAGATGAAGCTATTATAATATAATCTATGTGGTAATTAATTTGAAGCTAGCATTTTTTCTCCAGCTATCTGTTTTCATCTTTTCCAAAATTCGATTGTTAGTTGGTTATCAAGTAATTATTAATATTAAATGCATTATTTTTAAAATATTAAAAGGATTTCTCCATAAGAACGTTTTCTTTTGAAAGTGATCATTGAAAATTGTTGATGAATTCGAAATGTTATAGGAAATTCGAACTTGGTTGGTGGGAATTGATTTCACAGCTTATTATATTACGTAATGTGAGGCCCCTATCATAGTAAAATCGTTAGCGAAAAAAAAAAAAAAATTGTTTAGTCTTCTATTTCCTCTTTTGTCTTTCTTTTTTCTTTGCCGAAATAAAGTTTAGCGATCATTTTGACTCAAATCAAACAATTTCTCAGTGATTCATTTCTCTTTTTTTGCTATTGCAGAATGTTGCGTTTCTGAGTTATTTATGTTAATCGGAAGTAATTAGAAATTGTTATACTGGGTGTATTTCATACATGGGCCAAAGATGCATTTAACTTGGAGTCGATTATTGGCCGCTGTATTGACCATATCTATATTTGTCTGTTTTATCTTGTATAATTCACTGGAAACACAAACTTTCGAACATAGACGAAATTATGAAGATCATCAGGTAAGCTAGGTTTTTTCGGTATATATGTGTTAGCCAAGGGTTATTCCTTAGTTATATTCTTAGCTTGTTTACCTGCTTCATTTTCGGGACAGCGTAATGACTGATTTAAACAGTTTGATATAATGTCGATTTTTAGGAAAATTATTGCATATTGATTGCTATGAATAGAAAGGAGTAAATTTCCCAGATTTCCGGATTCTGCATGAGAAATATTAAAATATGAATCTTCTTGGTCATTATCATCGAAAAGAAGTTGTTATGATTTGGTGATTTACTCAAATAAATTTACAGTTGGAATTAGAGAAGCTGGAGAAACAGATCAATCTTTTAGAAGATGATGCGAAAAGGAGTGGACAATTAATGCACAACATGTTGCAGAAAGTCCTCGAAGAACGTCAACGATGGAAAAGTAACTTTTATGCTTTAAGTTACATAATGATTTATCATGTAAAGGCGATTGATCTGTTGGAATTCTCGAATTCTTTTTTTCTATTTTGCATTTTTAATTCTGTATTTTTTTTTTTCATTGTAAATTCAGTATCTGAATCATTTGAGGTAAAACTGTGAGAGAAATCAAAAATGAAGAAAAAGGAAAGGACCCTATGGATGAAGCTGCTGTTGGTTTTTTACCGCCTCCAAAGAGAGCCGAACAGGTATTTTCTTGCATTTGGTGAAGTTTCATTTTGAATTTCACTGTTTTGTTTTGTTCAGATAAGTTTAATTAATCCAATTAAATTTAAGCTCAAGTATACAGTTTTATGACGGAAATATTTTTCCCATGCATCAAATATGAATATTAAAATCTAGGTTCAATTATAAACATGGTCGAAATAAGCCATAGGTAGGAAAACTTTTCAAATCTTCGAAACTGGGAGTCAATCATATGATTGTTTTGCTGTGTACTATTTTGACAATAGAGCAGTTTTAGATTGAAAAAGAGGTCCGTAATGCGGAAGAAGCTGCGCAACAGAAAGCTCAGGAAGAACAAGCAATACATGGAGTCATCCATCCTCCAGAAGAATCACAGAAGGCAATGAAAATTCCGGATAGAATAGGTGGAAAGGTATGATTTCCAAATGAAATTAAATGACAGCGATGCAGTCATTGGATTTTTTGTCATGCTTACGTGTTTTTATATTGAACATTTGAAAGATCATAAGTATTCTTGGAAGTTTCCGATTATTTATGGTAATTCTCTACCCAGTTGATGTGCCAATTATGAATATCTTCGAGAAATTGGCTTATTCACTAGAAATAATTGCTTTTCAAGTTTCCCGATAAATAATCAATAATTTTGATTTGCTGTACTCAGTTCTTAATATTCTTTTTAATTTGCTAAAAGTAATTTGTACAGTGCAATCTATCAGTTTGAAATCTGAGATCGTTGAAGTCGCTTAGTTATAGATTGGTATTGTCAAACAATTTATGGATCGCATTTCTTCTACTCCGTCGCATAATATGTGTTTTGCAGCTATATCTATGACAACATCTGATAATAACAATATCCAAGTAACCTTTTTTAAAGTTTTAATCACGTTTTGGTTCAGGATATTTTAAATTAGCACGAATTTATATATTGATACTTGTACATATTTTAATACTAGTAGTATGATTATTACTTTTCATAGAGCTATTAAGATAAGAAGAAGTGACTAACTGGACACTTTTTTTGATTTTAATCGAAAGATCCAATCTTTTTGATGTTAACTTATAGTTTTATTTTTCTGTTTGTTGTCGGTGGTTTGAGTGAAATTATTTTGAAAGACTAATTTGGATGTGGTTTTTCACGGTACATATTTTGTTGTAGCTCATTTTTCATGTAGTTTATTTCTGGTCGTGAATTTTGAACAAAGGTGCAAACTACAACATTGACTAAATTTAGTGTGTTTAATATTGATGTGAAATTTTCCTAAAAATAAATTTTGCTCTATTACTCATCTATTGATATTTACTTATTTATCTTTTTTTTTTTCCACATTCTCACTAATTTATTTAAGATGTTGGACATATATAGTAAACTAGCATTTGACGATCCAGATGGTGGGGTGTGGAAGCAAGGTTACGACATTATATATAATCAAATGTCGGTACAACGTGAAAAACGACTTGAAGTAATTGTAGTACCCCATTCTCATAACGATCCAGGTTATAGCATTTTTTGATATGTATTTTAATTTGCTACATGACCGTTCTGATTATTTTTAGCCATTTCAAACAGGATTGGGGATAAAGTAGTAAATTTATTAGAAGTGTGTTCATAATGTAATAAAACTTAGATGGAAAATGTTAACCTAAAATTATGGATTCCAAAAAAATATATATACCTTTAATAAAATTTGAAAATATAAAAGAAGTTTTTAGGTTGGATAAGAACTTTTGAAGAATATTATGAAATTCACACACGAAATATATTGAACAATATGTTGAGCCATTTGCAAAAAATGGATGAAATGCGTTTTGTTTATGCAGAAATAAGCTTTTTTGAGCGATGGTGGACAGAAATCGATGAAGAGAAGCGGGAATTAGTGAAGGGGTAAATTTTACCTAGTGTCTTATTGAGTTATTTTTTGATTAACTGTTCATTTTCCGATTTAGAAACTAGCGATATGAAGGAATTACATAATTTGGTATTCTGAAGAAAGCAGGTTCAGATGACCATGAATCAATACTGAGGAAGTAGAGAAACTCAGAAAAAAAAAAAAAACGTGTATCTGGTTACTCTTTGAAACATCGTTTTTGAAAACCTGAACTGTATATTAATGTTCAGGTAATTCGTTCAGTAAAATGTAGAATTTATTGAGGAATGCTAATATTATCTTCCTCAATTTTCTCCCAACTTTGTTTATTTGACATTATTTTGTTATAAATCAGGGCTTAAAATTTATCCAGAGGAATGAATACATCCGAAAAAAAAAAATTTTTTTTTGCAGGACGTGTTACTGTTTACTTCTTTTAACTAGAAGTTTAGCTTTTAATTTAAGGCTTTTGAAATCGAAAAAACTGGAAATATTAACTGGTGGATGGGTAATGCCTGATGAAGCTAATTCACATTACTATGGTGTAATTAGTCAGTTAATGGAAGGACATGAGTGGATACGCAATCATATTGGAGAAGGTTATAAATTGCAATGATTGCTTAGATTCGGAACTAAAACTATGTCCATTGTTTTAATTCATATCATGAATGGCTTATTTGAATAAAGAATGCTGGAAAATTAGTTTCATGAAATACACTTTTTTTTTTTTTTTTCATTGTAGTTCTTTGAAATAAAAATACGATTTTTCTTCTGAAAATCTTAAGTCTTTGAATATCGTTCTACCCAACACTTGGAAATAATGATTTCAGATTATAAACCAAAGAATCATTGGTCGATTGATCCTTTCGGTTTAAGTCCTACAGTTTCATACTTTATGAAATTGTCGAATTTTTCAAATGGTGTACTTCAACGTGTGCACTATTCGGTTAAAAAGTATTTGGCAGAAAGGAAAGAGCTAGAATTTATGTGGAGACAATTATGGGGTACGTCATAAAAGTAAAGTTTAAAAATTTGTGTACTTTGTCTATCCGTGAAACAAACTTTTATTAGGACATTTCCGATACTGGCTTATATTTTTTGTGGGAAGGCATTCTGTTCAACGTGTTAGCTATCATCAGTTTTCTTAGTTAATTTTATTTGATTTTACTTGGTAATACTTAAGTTTGTTTAAAATATTCGGTTTCGAAGTTGTTAAAACTTCATTTTTGCCTATTATTTACTATTTTTACAAATATTTTATTCAAGTAGTATTATAAAACTGGCAAATTCTATTGTTGTTAGTACCAAGCTTTAAAGAAATATCTAAAATATTGTGGATTCTTGATAAGATTTGGCGTTTTTTCCCAATTCCAAAGTAGTGAAGAATTCGAAATTTCATTCTTATTTTGGGAGAGGTATAATGTATCTAATTAAACTTTGATTAATGAGTTAGTAATGATATAATGGGAATAGAATTGTTTGGTTATGAGTTAAAGGAGATGAAATGCTTGATTAGTGAGCTAATTTCATGGATCGGTAAATGGATCATATGCAATTTATGCACTTTTTCTTGTTAAAAGATTTCTTTGATTAACAACTTTCTTTATCACACAATTAGCGAATAGTGAATGTATTACTGAAATTAATGGTTGAAGTTTATAGGTAATCGTGATAACTCAACAGACTTTACTACACACGTCATGCCATTTTTTTCGTATGATATACCTCATACATGTGGTCCGGATCCGAAGATATGTTGTCAGTTTGACTTTAGACGTACTGCAGGGAGTGGCATGGATTGTCCGTGGAAATTGCCGCCAGTTGTTATCACCGAGAATAATGTTAAGGAAAGGTAAAACATGAGGCTTTTAGATTGACTGAAGTTGTGCAATTCCTAGGTATTCTATCAGGTAACGACATCACTACTGATCCAATCTCCGAGATATTTTAGATATATTGTCTCTGATGAATACAGACCTTCTAAGTGATTTTTTGTTTTTCGACTCCAATTTCAATTACAGAGCGGCTTTATTATATGATCAATACAGAAAAAAGGCACAATTATTCAAAACAAACGTTGTTTTGGTACCACTAGGTGATGATTTTCGTTATGATACCGAATTCGAATGGAATAATCAATATTCAAATTATATAAAATTATTCAAATATATGAATGAACAAAATGAATGGAATGTAAATGTAAGTTTATTTGTTTGAGTGTCAGTTCTCATATCTTTAGGTTTAACTTTTTTTTTTTTTGTTTGTTTGTTTTTTTTTTTTTTTCTTTAGGTTTAAGTTTTTTTTTGTTTTGTTTTTTTTTTTTTTTTTTTCTCCTTTTTTGTAGTAACTTTTTGTTGAAGTATCTCTTTTTGTATGACAAGAAAATGTTTACCTGTCACTGTCGGTGTAGTAACTTATCCGTTTCTGTAGAACAAAAATTAGGTTTTAATCATATAAATGATTGGAATGGCATATTGAATGTGGATTGATGTGTGAAGCCTTAAATAGTAATTATTGCAGTTATTGTTTACAGTAATTAGGGAAACAAATGTTAAGGAAAATGGTCTTTTTCTGTAGTTCCATTCATTCAATTTTGGCGATATTATATTCAAAATAGTCATTTTTCCCTATTTTAGGCTCGTTTCGGAACTGTGGATGATTATTTTCGTTTAGTTCATGAACGGTTACACGAAGATAACGATAAATTACCGGTCCTTTCTGGCGATTTTTTTACATATGCCGACCGGAATGATCATTATTGGAGTGGTTTGTTTTCTGTCCCGAAAATAAAATATCAAATGTGGATGGATGATTCAACCATTGATGCATAAAGCTGTTATTTGTTTTATATTTTGTCTCTTAGTTCAAGGATATATTTTTAAAATAAAATATTTTATTTTAAAATAAAAATAAAAAATATCTGGAAATATGATCTTGAAGTTGGATTTCTAAAATCTCGTCTAGTAAAGAACTCTTTTCAGGATATTATACGAGTCGACCGTTTCACAAGCGTTTCGATCGTGTTTTACAACATTATATCAGGTTAATAATTTGAGCAAGTAAATAAACTTTTAACACTTTAAAGATTATAAGAGATTTGTTTGTAGGAATATAATATTAGTTTGTATGCAAAATGTTTGGGAAGCAAATTTAGTGATATTTCTAATTTTTTAATCGCTTTATTGGATTTTTTTAGCATTTTTTTTTTTTGGTGTGAATTTTAATTTTTAAAGAATTTTTTTTTTTTTGAATGTTTCTTTACGTTTTAACATGTCAGCATATTTTTCTTCTAGAACCGCTGAGATTTTATACAGTTTTATGGGGATAAAAGGATTCAAAGAAAGGAATGCATTACGTTTATTTGGATTACTCGTAGAAGCTCGACGGTGGATGAATTTATTCCAGCATCATGATGGCATTACCGGAACATCAAAAGATGAAGTTATGGCTGATTATGGCCAGAAGTTTGTTAATATAAAATTATTAATTCAATTGAAAAGTCTAATTGGTTTTTACTGGCATATCTGTTCCCATGTCTTTTTCGAATCATCACTTGCATATTATTTGTTATTTATTTGTAATATTTTTCCGAAATAATTTCAAAAAATGTTATAAACCTAGTAGCAGTACTGATAATTTGTTCTGATTTTTCAAAAAAGTTTTTTCTTTGTAGAATGTTTGAAGCAATGAAGAAATCCGAAGAAATTATAACTACAGCTGCAGATTTCTTGCTTAGGCAAAAAACATCACAAGATTTGTCGACCCCTTCAAGTTTTTTGATAGTAGGTTCTAATTCGTTTATTTGTAATTAATTTTATTTCCTATCATTAATTCATTCAAAGCTTAACAGTATACACATATATCCATCTTTTTAGTTTGATCATCAGCATCGATCAATTTCTCGTAATTCCATGTTCTTTTCTGATTACAGTTTACCTTGTATTGCAACAATGAAATGATTTCATTCTTAATTTCAAGATTTTAGGAAGAAAGTCTTCGTACATCTGAGTCACTTCCGATAAAACGAATTGTAGTGCATGGAAGGTTAGTGAAATTCATATTTGCGCGATATTATTGCTGCATTTACTATTTTTTTGTGTTAAAATTCCTCTGATTTACTGAAAAACTATGCCACTGCAACAGACGAAGTTTGTCTTAAGCTATATGGCAGTTACACCAAGATTAAGTTTATTATAAATTAAGGCTTTTTGTTAAACCTTCACGTATGATTTTAAGCACTTTTTTTTTTCTAATTTATATGAAAATGTTTAATTTTATTTTAGTGGAGTTATCTTATTCAATTCATTGGGAAACTTGAGGATGGAGACGATATGTGTGCATGTTAATGCTTTGAATACAGTAGTAGTGTTAGCTTCGGAACCTAATACAACTGTTTTGCAACAAATTGGTCCAATTCTTGAATTCGTTCACAATAAATGGGTTATCGATTCGAAGTTATATGAGGTGTGATTGCGAGATGTGTATTCTATTTTGTCTAATCACTTTTTTCATATTTTATTTTTTGGAAGCTGATCCTATTCTCTTCTTGTTAGTGTTAATTTAAAAAATTTCAGCTCTGTTTTGTTTCCACTATACCTCCGCTAAGCTTCCAGAAATATCTGTTTAAATCTGGTGTTCCACATAACAAAGCTGTGATCCGATTGAGTTCTACCGAATTGCAAAGCAGGTTATATCTTATTTTATGCTTGTCTTTATACCTAATCTTTAATAAAATGCAAAGTTATTCTGAAAACCAAATTTAAGCGAAGGCAGCGACATTTAGAGGTTTAAAATTTTGGTTAAATGAAAAGATGATTATTAAGTTTGTAACACTTAAGCTGTAGATTATTGAGTTTTCACTTTTTTTTTTTGCATATTCATTTTTATTTTTTTGTTTTTCTTCCAGTGATTTTGATATCGCTCCACTAGGAGATTTCACGTTCGATAATGGTTTAATATCAGCAACTTTTGATCCAGAAACAGGTCATTTGTCTGTAAGTTCAGTTTTTTTTTTTTTTTTTTTTTTTTGAGCTTTGAAATAAACAGGTAAAAAATGAAGGAAATCTTATGACTATGGTAATGAACATATTTCTTTGAATCCAAACTTTTTTGTAAATCTCTTAATTTTGAAATGTTTATTGATAGAAAATAATTTCCAAATGTTCTAATGCTGTCTTCATTACCCCTTTTTCTCTTCTAACCCTTTTTTTTAAAAAAAAATTTTGCAGTCAGTATCATTAAAGCAGAAAAAGAATATACCAGTAAGAACGTCGTTCGTCTGGTATGGAGCAAGGATGAAGAGCCCATGTAAATTTGTTATTTCAGATTTGAATGCATCATATTTGATTAATTCATGTTCATTTTCGTACTTAATTATTTTCTCAATGCATTGCAAAATTAGTTCTGGAATTTATAGTCAGTTCTAATCAGGTGAAAATGAAGAATGAACTTGAGAATTTTAGCTCGTTTAGCGCAAGTCAAATTAATTTCAATTTTTTGTAGCACTTTTGAAAGGAACCGATAATCCTTCTGGTGCATATTTATTTCTACCAGATGGTCCAGCAAAACCACTGAAATTAAAACAGTCATTTATAGCTGTTCAAGGAATAGTAATGCAAAAGGTCGCTCCTAATATTTTGCCCTTTTTAAAAGAAATGTTTATAAGTTGTTATTTCTTTCCGATATCCAAATTTTGGCTCAAAATATAAACAAGTAGTCGAAACTAAAATATCAAAAATGTATGTAAAATAAAATGTGCTTTTACTTTTTTTACTCTTTAGGTGCTAGTAGCTAATGATGGAAACATGACTTTCACTCATGTTGTCAAAATGCCATTTTTATCACCATCGATAGAGATTCAAAATACATTTCATTTGGATACTGTCCAAAATGTTGAACTAGCGATGCGATTGGAAGCAGGAATTGGTAACGGGGATGAATTTTTCACTGATCTTAATGGATATCAGGTGATATTTATTCCATTAATGAGCAAAATTAATTTATTTGAAGGCAATTTAACAAAAATGATAGAAATAAGAAAAATAATAGTAGTAAGTTTTTTATGCTACAGCAGACTTGTACCAATGAATTTTTTATTGATATAAAAGTTAATAATTTTGAAAGGTAATTGTCAAGCTTGTTTTTAATCGTAGTAGTAGTACTGAGGTATTTCTGTTAGATAAAAAGTACTAAAAGCATGTTCTAATCTGAGAATAGGAATTAAAGCAGAAATATAAGGTTCAGCAAAACTTCAGAATCAACGGCATATTAATTTCTTATGTTTGCAGTTTTTTTGGATTAAATAACTTAGTGGTAGATGTATTATTTCGATCCATGTGTTCTTATTTTAGGATTTTTTTTTTTCTTTTTGCAGTTTTGAAACATTGTACTATTTTAGATAGGAGGGTTATAAAAAATAAGTGTAATCAAGGTTCAATTTTAATTAAAAGTTACGGTACTTTTTTTCTTTTTTTTTTGTGATTAAATTTCAATTTATATATTGTTTGAGATGGTGAAACGACGTAGACTCAAACAACTACCGCTGCAAGCTCATTTCTTTCCGATGCCTTCTTCAGCTTTCATAGAAGATGAAATGCTACGTATGACACTTTTGAGTGCTCAACCTTCAGGAGTTGCAAATCTTGCTAGTGGTATGCAGCTTAATAATTTTCTCATTCTTTTTTTCCGATAGTTTCAGTGAAGAAAAATTAGTAACCATAATAATGATGAGATAAATTAGTAGTATTCATCAGCTATAAGACAGTATTACAATGGTAGTGGTAACGAATAAATAACGGTTATTGGAAGGAATATTAATAGTCGTATGCTTGTCTTAGGATCGTAAGCTTTAAGGAGGGAATATAAATGATGCTTTCCAATGGAGGATTAATTGCAGGACAGATGGATGTAATGTTGGACCGGCGCTTAAATCAGGATGATGGAAGAGGTCTTTTCAGTGTATGTGTTTTGTTTTTAAAATTAAAATTAAAGTTATCTGATTTATTCAGTGCTTTTGATGTTAGCTAATGAGGATTTTTTTTTTTAAAGGGTTCATTTACTTAGTTAATCGACATGTTTTCATGCTGTTTCGTTTTTTTTTTTTCTCTCTCTCTCTAATAATCAGACATTTAATAAGCTATTACATTAGGTTATTTTAAAAAACGATAAAAAAATTTTTTCGAGTATTTGTAGGGTATAATGGATAACAAAAAAACAACAAGCTCTTTTCGACTCGTGTTTGAAGTTCCTTCTCGGAATGTGCCGGTAAATACGAAAGCCAGAGTTACTGCTTATCATTCGGCGCATGCTTACGATCGAATGCTGTCATTGCTATATCCGCCTGTAATATTGCTCACTAATCTCAGTGAAGGTTAATCTCAATTTCAAGTTTGAATTACGTTTCCTGTTAAGGATTCTCTTTTAACAAAGCAGAACATATAGTCATAGTAATGTTTCATTTGAAAAAATAACTGTTATTTGATTGTTTTAAATTTGGCTGCTCTTTAATAGCATGAATCACCTCATAGGCAAATTGGTATATCAATATATGTCGAGATTATTTCATTTATTTCTAACTTATCCACCACATGACAACTTTAATTCTCAACTACAATTTTTTCCTAGTGAATTAGGTTATGACGGTTGCAATATTATAATGTTATTCATGGAAACTGATAATGATGCTTTATCAGTGTTTATTGCTATCTTTCAGATTATATGGATAATTATAAGTTGATGAATACTGTATTCTCGTGTGATGATACACATCTGATTACTCTACGTACCTTAGCAGCTCCAACTATTTACGACACTCGTTCAGTTCACATTCACAAACCTCGTAATTCATATGCTCTTGTTTTACACCGCTTTGCTACTGATTGCCGTTTTACTAGTAAATTGCCAGAAACATGTACTGCTACGGTATGTTTTGCTAATATTTTATTATCTTTTAAATATTTTACTATCTTTTAAAATGTAAATGTAGAAGCCTGAGATTTGAATAGTATTATATGCACTTAAAGGAATAATTTTCTAGAAAAGGTGAGTGAAATCATTGACTTCAAACTTGGGAATTAATTAGTAGTTTAATTTAAATATGAAATTGCATGGTATTAAAGCTGTCATAGTTTGATAAAAGATTATGTGTGCGTAGTATTGATTGAATAACTTAATAGATTTTTAAATTAAAAAAAAAAGTTCTAAATTTAATATTTTTCAGCTTGATGTAAAGCGTTTATTCGTGAAGTCACCTTCACGTGTAGCGGAAACTTCATTAACAATGTTATATGATTACCCTGGTGACGTAAATAACATATCACTGGAACCTATGGAAGTGCGAACATTTAGGCTGGACTACACATGAAGTACTTTTTTGTACTTGTGGACAATATTTTGTATTATTCTTATGTAGCAGAGTTTAAATATTTTTTGTCTTCATTTTCTTTTTTTAAATTGTATTCATATCTGTTTCTCTGTGATTATAATAATCACCCCTTTTTTAGTCGAGGCGACATGAATTTAATGAACTGTTTGCTGACAAACAAGGAGACTGAGAAGTTGGAAAGTTGCACAATTCTTAAGACATAGATCAGCGTTGGGTATTTGCTGCAAAGCAATGCTAACTAACTTGTAAATATTATTTTTCATTTTTTTTTTTTATTTTTTACTGTAGACATTAGACTGTTCACCGTCTTTATAAAATAAAGTTGAGCAAATGAAGAAAGCAATCAAAATTATCAAAATAGTTCCTTTGCTTATTTCTACTTTACATGACTTACGACTTGTTTGTTGCCAAAACCTACAACTGAAATGTTTCTTCTGAAGCAGATTTGACTTCCTATAACTTAAGCAATCTTAGCAAACGCAATTGCTGCAGCAATTCTAATTTGTTTTTCTCAATTAGCTCAATTGTTCTGTTTTGTTAAAGTGATAAATTGTTCAATCTTTTTAAAATAACAAAATGCAGTAGACCTAAATTTCATCCGATGCGATACTAATGGTGGTAGATTGAATTTTAAAGTCGTTCGGTAGTTCTGATTGGAATTTCTAGAAACACTGTTTGGCATTTTCACGAATTAAGCCTGAACAAGAAGCTTAAATCTATTTACCTCTTCAATATTTTCATATGGTGTTAATTACGGGATGCTCTATCAATTATTTTGGTTTCAATTTCTTCATATATATATATATGTATTCGATTGGGGAGGAAATATCGAGAAATTTTCGTCGTCAAAAAATACATTTATTTGTTATACTTGGTTATTTGCTCAGAAGTTGTATAATTTCAATTTATCCTTTTTTTTTTTTTTTTGTCCATTCAAATACAAATGATGAATACACGTTTTTGTTCAATGCTAGTGAAATGATTTGAACTCATTTCTTTCATTATCATCCATATTTTTACAGGTTGAAGAGTGTCGGATATCTTTGAATTATACCTCTCTCAACAAAGACTGAGGTTGGGATGTAGTGAGAGTTGGAAATAATGTATTTATGAATTGGAAAGTTGTAATATGATAAGCATGGATAGCACTTTCTTTTCGTATTCCTTATATTTGCCTTTTCTTTTCTTAAGGACAAAAGTAATCATTGGATTTTTCTTCTGAATTCACTTGTACAAATTCAACTCTGAAAAGAGTGGAAATAGCAACAGTGTCTTGATCAGTTACTTTTTAATAATAATAATAATAGTAGTAGTAGTAAGTAAATGAGGTAGAAATTTCTAATCAACAAAAACTATTGTATTAACCGATTTAATAATCTTGTTCCTTGTACATTTTTCTTTTCTAAAAAAAAAAAAAAAGAAAAAAAAAGTTTGGAAATACGGTCTGCTTTAGAAGTAAAAATCCTATTAAGAAAAAATAGTAGGAAAAAGTAAAGGTTGAAAAAACGGATTAAAATGTGTATTATTTTCTTGAAGTCACATATGTGCACAGCTTATGATCGAGATTAGATTTTCCTTTAAACGTAGCTTTATATTATTATTGTTTATTTATTGTTATTATTATTATTTGTAAAAAGTAAAAGTGAAAACAGTATTGGAAAGCTAAAACAATGAAGATGAATTGCTGGAAAAGAGATATAAGAGAAAAATGATTAAGCAGTAGAGCTTGATTTCGAACTTACTTCTTTCTAGTGAATCGAGAAGACCGAAAATTTCGGTCTTAGTGATTTCATTATTACGATTTTCATTTTAGTCAATGATATCTGTTAACTATTAATGTTTATCGAAACTTTCCTGTGCTCCGTCCTTGTTTTAAGATTACTTTTTCAATTAAATTGCTTTGCTTATTTTTTATGAACTTATCGGTAGAATCGATGAAAGAAGTTGAGCACAATCTGTTCGAATATTTTACATTTGAATATTTATTTGTCATCTTTGTCTAACAACTGCTCATCATAATTTATTTGATAAAGTATTTGAAAACTTAACTTGGCAAATAATTGCAAGTAAAACAAATAATTCGTTAAGAAATTATCAAATGAACATGCAATATTCAAAGATTATATCGATTGATTTATATCATAGTTATTTTGCTGATGTATTATCATTTTTTATTATTAATTCTTATGAAGTCAATATATAGAAAAAAAAATGATAAATAATTTGTCACAAAAAATATTACGCATAATTTTTTTGAAAAAAAAAAAAAGTGAGAAAATAAAAGGAAAAAGAAGAGATGAAATTCAATCGACAAAAATTAAAATAGAAATTACTTTAACAGAAGATTGAATGTTAAAACATTTCCACTATCAATATACAAGATGATGTAAAAAAAAAAAAAAAAATAAAGTAATAATAATAATAAATGATCTAGTAATAAAATCATATAATAATTTTTTATCAGTCAAAAATTATTAAACTTCCCAGAAAAGATATCGAATAAGGGTGTGAGAATATTTATCAGTTTAAAATTGACTCATAATAATTCACAAGAGATGTTAATTTTAAATAGATAAAATCTAATATTATGTGTTGAGTTTTAGTAGTTTTACAATTTCAAAATAAAACAAGAATGACATTATTTTCTGTATTTTCCGGTCAATTGCTATACTTTATCCTGTTACACTTTTCCGTTCTGTTAAATTTTTCCGGTTCAGCTAGTGCCTCAAAACGACGGATTATTCGTTTACTAACTCCATTATCTAAGAATGCATCCAGTAATGGTCAACGGTTATTTCAAAATATTGCAAATAATGAAATGCAAAATATCGATATCATTTATATGAAATTATCTGAATGGGCAAAAAATGAAGGACCCAATTTTATGGTTGGCTTAATTTATAATTTTAAAAAGGGAACATTTTAGAGTTTTTTTTTTTTCAAAAATTTATCAAAAAAATACTTAAACAGAAAATACATGGAAATATTCAGAAGTGTGTTGATAGGATGAAAATTTTCTTCTCTTTCTTTTTGTTCATCATAAAATTTCATTTTCCGCTTACGTTGTCATTGTGTTTTTTCTTTTTTTAAATTTCCTATTTAGCATTGTTTATGAATTTTGAAAAATTTTTGCTGTTTATTGTTGTTGTCGAGAAAGATAGTTTTGCTGCTCAACGATAAACTATGTGAAACTTTTTTTTTTTTTCAAAATCGATAAATTCCTTTCTTTCAGAAAGCATTTGATGAAAATATGAGAAGAGCAGAAAAAGAAGCTTATGAAAAACGTGAAGAACTTGGAATTGAAATAGATCAATTACCACCGTTAGTAATAGATGCTATCCAGATCGTTGACATTTTTCGGCAAGATCCGACTAGAAGTAATCTTGAGGAAAAGAAAATGGTTATTTTAATTAAGCATAAATTTCTTTTTTTTTTTTTTAGTTTCAATTTTAATTTATTTTTATCTTTTTGATTTCTAAAAATTAATTTGGATGCATTTTCATTTCTCATTTAATCGACAACTCTTTTCAACCACTTTGCCAAACTTCTATTGCTGATCTCCATTTTCCACAAAACATTGTTAATATCTATGCCTCTTCCAGTATATTTATTACACATTAAATTCTTTAGCTGATATAATTTCAATTCTCAAATTGATAATCACTTGAAATTCTACTAATTTTATATCAATACGAAATTTGGATAAAAAAATCTTTTTTTTTTTTCTATTTTTAATTTGACAGAATTGTCTCACTATTTGCAGATTAGTGATTTGAAGAGAACTGTAGAACCGTTATTTGTCAATCGTTATCAAATTATTTTGGATCGTGCTCAGAAATTACAAGATGAATATGGCATCAATTTGTTTCGCTCACCTTTTGCTAAACGTAGAAAGCATTATTTTAAAAATGACGAATTATAATTGTTTAAAAGTGACAAACTATAATGATGTGTGATATCAAGATATAAAATGTTGCTGGATTTCATACAAAAATTGTTATTGCTTCGACAATTTTAAAGTTATTTGCTATAAAATTTTGTTGAATCTTAATTATAGAATATTTTGTTTATCCAATAATTCTGAACCTGCACGAATTAATCGAATTCACAGATATTTTGGAGAGTTTTTAAATTGCTTGATCGGCTTATCTATATATTGATTTGTCTTGTGCTTATAAATGCATATACAAAAAAATGTAAGTGAGAAGGAATAATTTTGAAATGATAAAAAGGTATTACAACATAGCACTTTTATTCAACAAATTTCAAAGAAAAAAAAGGAAAAAAAAAAAAAAAAAAAACAACTGGATGATTCAAAATGCACATACTATTTTCAAAATGACAGACTACATCAAAAATGTAATAAAAATGTTTCCTTTAGCATCGGAATTTCCTCAAAATAAAAACAAATTAAGAACAGCAATCTCACCATGGATATTGAGTACACGACATAAATAATTGTCACAAACATACTTAGTTTAAAGATGTATGCACTGATAGGGATTAATTTCATACGGAAATGATCATGTTTTGTTTTAGTTTTTTGTTTTTTAAACCAACAAAATAAACCAATGTGAGTCCTCATCATTAGTTTAACTCTTTTATTCAGGAAAGGAGAGCAAAAATGAACAAAAAATTTTTGAAATTGAAGTTTTTTAATTTCAAATATGTTTAGTGCACAGAAAGCATGTATTAAGGAAGTTGATTCACAATAATTAAGAATTTAAATCAAACATATAGTACGATTTTCCTTCAGCATTGTCGTGCTTACTCTCTAAAAACATATTTAACATTGTTCCTTGGCAGTACGACACGAAAAAGATCTGATTTTCATTGATGATAAAACATGAGAATATGGACTATCTGTTGCTAGTAATGCAATGAAACAAAGTATGATTCAAATCTGACTAATCAAAACTCGTAAAATCTTTTTTCGTATCATTCATCCCATTACCAGCTGCATGCAAATGCTTTAATGAATAACCCATAAACTAGTAACTGTACTGTTTCTCCTCTTATAATTAGCAATAAAAAAACAGGAAAATAATTTCTATATATTACTTTTCTGCGCTTTTCCTAATCTCTCCGTTTCAAACATTTACTGAATAAAATTGCCTGACCACAAAAAAAGTTACAAAATCATTACCTGCTCAAACTTCTACTCATACTCCGTCTTTCATCATATCGAGGCGACTTACGTGGCGGAGGTGTGATAGAACGGCTACGTGTTCTCCGATAATACGGTGACCTTCAAAAACATTTATGGCAAATTCTATAAATTCACATTCAATAATTTCTCCTAACAAAAGGAAGAAAACCATATCTATTTACACATATTGATTTAAGCTTACAAACTTACATATACTAATTCGATAAACCCCTATTAACTGTAATGAATGAAGCGAGATATGCGATGAATTCATTCACGTAAAGTTTTAAAGTACAATACCATCATTAAATAAAACACAATCATGCATTAAGCAATAAAAGGTATCCAATGTATTATACGTGGATTACTACATTTAAGGATTTGATGATAAAAAGTACGAGAATGAAATTGACACATTTCTCATAAATCATCACAGAAAATAGAGGTTCATCAAAATCAAAAAAAAATTTTTTTAAAACGTTTTATATAATGCTACTACTATTAAAAAGACAAGAAAATAAAAAATGAAAAACGCAAAAAAACTTTAGAAAGAGAAAAAGGGGTTAAAATAACTTTCCAAATAGTCAGCTGTTAGTCAAAAAGTTAAAAAAAAATTTTTTGTGAGGAAAAATAACTATCCCTCTTTCGAAATTCGAATTCCTTACCATCCAGAGATGATGAATGGATGTTGTTTAGATGATGATGGTTATGATGATGATGATGACGATAATCATTATGATGAGTGATGATGATGACGACGACGGTGATGATAATAATTGATAACGACGATGATGATCATAACTGATGACGACGACGACGATAATCATGAATGACGAGGACGATGATAATGATTATTCATGATTGACAACCGTGACAATGACAATAGTGATAACGATTATGATGATAATGAGGTAATGATGATGATGATGAATACTGTTTGATATGAAATAATATATGTTGGCAAAGAAAGTTGTATTGATGCTTTTTTTTTCTTTCAACATGAACTATTTCGATTTTCTTGAATGATAGCACTTACAAATGCAAGTGCTTCGTTCGTTATATTGAAGTGTAAAGAGGGTAAAATTATGGAGGGATATACCTTCGTTCATGCCTCATTCAGACCAACCGAACTATGGAAATTTCCTACTTCATGCGGGAAATTCCCTGCTGCATTTTGTTGCAGAGAAATGTATAGGTGACGAAGATCGATGAAGTGATGAAAAAGTCGTAATGCTTCTACGAAGATGTTCGTTAGGCAACAGTAGAACTGATAGTAGTAGTTGCAAAGCAGATGAAGTAGGTGTTGATGTTGAGATGAGTTGTGATAGTAGTGGTAGTAGCAATAGTAGTAGCAGTAGTAGTAGTAGTAATGGCTGTGGTAACTGCATGGATGGGGTAAAATAACTTACTCTTTTCGCCTCCAAATACCTGGAAATTTTACTCTTACAAAACAATCTTACATAACTAATCACCAAGCCTATTTTCTCTAAGCATTGATATTATGGCAATAAAAAATAGCTCTGATTGCAAGAATGACAAAATGGAAATACTTGCGTGAAGTTGAATGATACATGAGTGCATTTGTCGAACCAGAGACTATTCTGTCCGGTGATATAAGTTAACTTTTTTTGTGAAGGAAAAAATTACGAATAAGTTCAAAGTAAAAAGTCCATCCTCTAGTAGTGCTTTAATTTTATGTGAGTGTGTGTAATAAGATATAAGTTTTGATTTAAAAAAGACCAAAAAAAACACAAATTAACTATATACATAAAGGTAACAGCTAAGTAAAAGATTTGAACAAATCATTAAGCATACCTTGAACGCCGGCGACCACCCTCATAGTAAGCACCACCACCACCACCTCCACCCCCTCCATAACCACCATTTCGTCGACGACCATGTGAAATTTCTACACGAGCACGTACACCACAAATTCTTCTAAGAAAAATGAGAACAAGAAATACAAAGTTCCAATTAATTTACCAAAGCAAAAAAAAATATTCTGAAGCTAAATATGAAAATAAAAAAAGAGAACCAAATCTTACGTCCCATCCAAAGCTTTTACAGCATCCTCAGCATCTCGGGCATCTTCAAATTCCACAAAAGCAAATCCTGGAGGACGACGGGCAACCCAAACTTTACGTATACGACCAAAACGATTGAATGCATCTTCAAGCTGGAAAAACGAAATAAAAAACAAAGTGTATTTTTTTTTTTTTTTTGATAAAGAGGAAACAAAAGGCAAATATCGCTTAACAAAAAAAAAAATCGAATTCTTTCTCAGTGGTTAATTGGTGGACAATAAAAAAAGTGTATCAACACAATGCACTATAACACAAATCCAATTACTAAAATTGATTAACCTCCTGCGATGTAGCATCCTGTGGTAAACCTCCAACGTATACTTTACAATCGAGCGGGTCTGATCGTCGTGACATATTCAGCAAATAAATTATATGATCAACCTTTAGGTTTAAAAAAGGATTAAAATAAGAGGAAAACCAAGATCCGCTAATTTTTGTACAGATTACATTGCAAAAATTGAAAGCTTATTCTAAATGTTAGGTTATGAAGACAAAAAAGTAGACTATATTCATATGAAGAACAAACCACTTAATTTTTCCAAGTCAATAATATGAAATGTTAGCAACACACTGCAATTTAAGGATAAAGAAGCGAACCTTTCCTCTACCTAGTTTAAGTGTCGAAAATTTGCCTAACTCCAGCGAAACACTGGCGAAATTAATATCAGTAGTACTACCTTCCCACCAATAACTAAAATTGTATCACTATCACTCTGTGTTATCAACATTTACATTCATTAATATATGAGATAAAAGCTGGGCATTATACCCCTTTTAAAGCTACAAAGAGCGAGAAACGAATAACGATATTTAACAGTAAATGCATAAATGACAATGTCGAGTGGTTTATTCCAAAATCCGAATTTTTAAAAATACAAATAGTGAAATAACAAATTCAGAAAGAAAAATTATGGAATGCCAGTGGTACGGCAAGAATGATTTCTTATTTGGAGGCATTGTTATTTTCTTATAAATAATAAATCCTCCCAAAGTATTTTGAGTGGTTAAAGTAAGCTATTAACGATTCATAAAGTATGATTATCATCAGTGTGTACGAAAGCGTATCATTTCGATATTTTGAATCTATCCTACTTTGTTTCAACATTTTTTAGCCATTGAAACGCTGTTCCACATAACGAATAATGCTGATAGTTATGCAGATAAAATATAAAAATCTCAAATAAAAATGCTGGTATAGCAATCAACCTTACAATGTTTTTTTTTTTTTTTTTTTACTTTTATGACAAACAATGATAGAAACATTCTAGATCATATTAAGAATAAGAGAAATTAAGAGCAATTAATCAATATTTCTGTGCCATCTTATTGGATGGTCACACACTATTTGCCCTGAAAAAAAAAGCATTAATTGCAAAAAACATAACTCGGGGAAATTCCAAGCGATTACTTTAATGTTAAGAAATAAAAAATTTGAGTTTCATATCTGAAATGAACAAATCAAGGATAAGATATCAGGATACAAAATGGCTCAAGTTTCGTTTTAAAAGTATTGAGAAAAGATCAATGACAGATAAGTAATAACCACAACATTTGCAGTGCATTTTTATAAAAATAGTTTTCAATTTCATTTTGCTGAATATACCGCCTTTGTATTAAAGTAATTAACGAGGGAAAAATGAATCATAAACTGGTAGCATGAAACTGTAAGCATTCTTTCGAACTCTCCATCAAATACCAACACAGATTTAACTTACGTGAATTGGGACGCACTATTATCGGCCCGCTCATTTATCCCTAAAATAACAGCCCCTATTTTATAGCTATTGTGAATAATTACTGATAATAATAATAACTGAGTTAAGGATCTTAACATCATAAATCTTAACCGTGACTAGTTCAGCTAGAATGAAAGATAAATTAAAAAAATTCAACATCTCCAAGATGACAGTTATTAAAATGGTCCGTATAGTAAATAATCCCAGAAAAATCAAAGTAATTTTTAAAAAAGTGCAAAGCAAAAAATCTCTTTGCTATTTTATTGTTTTTTTGGATTTTATTAGCCCATTTTGCTTCAAAAGAGAAAATCTAAACCCATACCGTACTAAAAGTTATATTGCTATAACAAGGATCTTGGAAGAAACAGAAAATACCTATTTAAACTGCGGCTACGGCTACGGCTATACCGCGGCGATCTTCGCGGCAGCGGTGAGCGCGAACGACTGAGTGATCGTCGGCGTATCGGTGTCCTACAAATAGGAAATTGATAATATCAAGTGCAGGACGATAAATACCACCAGAATTTAAAATAAGGTCAAATCTTTAATACACTCTACTGTCCAGAATTATGCTTCCACATCTGAGAAAATGAATCCTAATAGTTCATCCAAGAGCAACAGACAAAATCGTCGAAACAGAGTACACAACACAAAACTGATATAAGCTTCAAGTAAAAACAAAGGTATATCCCGATGATTGGATGACAATATATCGGACTAAACTGCCGATGGGTCTTCAGAAAGAAGTTCACATTGTCATTGTCAACCACCAAAGTATTGCAGTCAGACTATCAGCAACTTATAGAGAACCCTTCCTGTTTCTCGCACGCCAGCATTTCCAGATAATAAAACGCAGTACATCTTCATGGTAATGCTAGGACAGCATACCACAAATGAAACTATATTAGAATCTCGAAATAAACCCAAAATAATGTTATGGAACTATTTTATTTCTAAATATCGGACAAGCAAGGAGTTTGTGCTACCTGCTTCCAATCACTTGATTTACAGCAATGCTTCCTCCCCTCAATGGAAACATCCGGGAAATTTCCCTTATATTAGCGATTATTTTTACCTATATTGACAGGTTTCTAGTGCAAATAAAAATTATCTGAAGTCTTATACATATATATAAATATATATGTTATATATACTCAGGTATTCCTACTGCAAATTTTCTTACCGAGTTAAGTGATACAAGTAGAAAGAAGTGTGGAAGCTTTGCGGTGACATATACGTGATACATCTGTGGTAGAGACCACCGAGCACACGGATACCGCAGCTGCGCGGCCGTTTATAACAATGAAATTGTGCAGACGATGTAGCCAGTTAACTTTATTTTTTGGATAGTGATGAAGCGTTTTTGAAGACTTAGAAGACGATGACCCTTTTTTCCGGATCTTTTTTGCAAGCTGACCACTTTCGAAAGCTTTGAACCCGCCGGCAATGCAAAAAATGAAGGATGCAGAGATGGTATAATTGCGAAAATAACTGAAGCGTCGGATGCAAAGTTCAGAACAGTGATATTGCAGTAGTAGTATGAAGTGAGCGAAAGTGAACTCATAAAACGAGTTCCTGTAGGAGGCGCTGACATGGTGGTAACGGGCTAAAATATATATTTCAATTTCATACTATTTTCTTTTTTCTTCGTATTGTTGAAAGTAATAGAACTTTCGTATGTTATCATAAAAAATAAATACAAAACATCCTACTATGTGACATGAAAGCCGACCCATTTATCAAGTTTTTAGAAGAAATAAATAACCTCGAACGACGTCTACCTCCACCTCCTCGACCACCACGGCGTGAACCACCATGCGAAAACTCCACTCTTGGGCGGACACCACAAATGCGTCTGAAATTCGCCCATTATTTATCATAATACTACTTCCTGTCTCCTCTTCAGATGTTGAATACTGTATACTTATCTATGGTCGTAAAATAATTTCTTCGCAATATAAAACAAAAGAGAAATATACGAAAATGTAAACTGAAAATGCCTTTTTTCTTTAACATTCTAGCATTTATCAAATTTTATTAAATCATTATTACAGTCCGTCCTTTCAAATAAGGAAAGATAATGAAAGAGCAAAATATTTGTAGCAATGCCTAAAAGCCAACTTATAATTCTTATACGAGCACCAAAAAAGTGAAGAACTTACGTTCCATCAAGTCCCTTTACTGCATCTTCCGCATCTCGACTATCTTCGAATTCAATAAATGCAAAACCGGGTGGACGACGTGCCAACCAAACTTTTTTGATGCGACCGTATTTGCTGAATGCTTCTTCTAACTGAAATAATTATTCTGATGAAAGTTCCAGGAAAGAATAGAAAAAAAGAGATCTGATCATATCATGGACTCACTAATAAAATAGAAGATTGATTATCTAGCAATCGAAATGACATTAAGAATGTTGAACGGTCCATATGCATAAAATTTTCTTAATATAAATTCCACTCTAGCAACAATAATTAACGAAAACACCTAAATCACAGCATTTACATAATTTCCTGACACAATACTGTGCTACTTGCCCAGTATGATAATATAGAGTATAGTAATATTATGGGTTTTGAGAAAAGCAGATTTTTTTTTGCACAGATTACTGATTATGATAAAAAGTTTAATATTTTGTTTTTGATAAGTTACTTCTTCACTTGATGCATCATTAGGTAGGCCTCCCACAAATACTTTGCATTCCAAACATTCGTTACGTCGAGCCATTCTAATCGTCCGAAAGCCTGAACATAACAATTTAAAATTGATTTATATATAATCGAATTCCAAAGTCAAAATAGTTACAACTACATATTTAATTTCAGATTATTATTTGTATGCTGTTCTATCCTGTAACTTAGATTGCGTAACGTCAGAGTATACGTTTCGACCATCCAGCAGTTACACGAACAACATAGTTATGAAACGTGATAATGTTGCACATATTTTCACACGTTAGTGTTAAACATCTACAATTATTAACAAGCAAATATAGCACGAATGCTTCCTATGCAACAAAATACATTCTTCAATCACAAGTCAATACATGATATATGTCTACTTTAAACAGCAACAGAGTACTTTTTATGATACAACAATATCTATCTTTACCGGCTGCTCTTCATAAAATACAATGCATTGTTTTGTCACATACACGTCGCAACATAATTCATTTAATAAACAAGCGGCAGTGTCAAGCGTATACTATTACTATAATAAGCAAACGGAACCCCCAACGTTCCGCACGGGTAGTTCCGCCGAACAAGTAATTACGCCTTCGTACTATACCGTAGCCGAATTTTCCATTCGAAATAACTCAATTATATAACAGCGTAAACCTGATTTAAAAAAATTCAAATTTATACTTAATATTTGGTTGTTAAAGCTAGCACTAAAAGTGAGAAATAAATGTTATTAGTAACAGAAATGTCTTAAAATAAATGAATCTATTGAGTTAGTGTTGCTCTTTTGATACCTTTTTGAGTAATTAATTCTGTTTATGAGTAATTCTATTTTTTTTTTTTAAAGTAATTAAATGCATTTATGAGTAATAATTAACTCTACTACCTACGTGACTGTAATATTAGTCTTTAAGCATTACAAATAGGACTCTAATTGATAGAATTAATTATATGTCAAATATAAATGAAACAGATTGTAGGATTTTCTTTTTTGACACTTTTTATCGGCCAAAAATTTTAATTTTGCAAATCTCTCTGGCATAAGATTTCATTTGTTTTAATAAGACCACGAACAATCGTAATTTTTCAAATTAAAGGATGATATAAAAGCAAGGGATTACTTTGAAATGAGGGAAAAAAATAATAATTTGAAAATAAATGAAATAGTAACTGCACAAAATATATACTTCAGAAAAAGGAATGTAAAAGAAAAGTTATATCTGTAAGCAAAATTTTACTTAATAATATAAATAGGATAAAAGAATGAAATTTCAATATGCTTTTCAATTGTGTCATTCTATTTGTTCATCGGGCAATTTCACTTGCATATATTTAGAGTAAGTCTTTAGTAAACAAAAATTTTTCTTCCTTCTCTTCCTCATCCATCTTATCTACTTTTACCTCTTTCTTCTCCTCCTACACGACATACTCAAAATACTTGAGCTTACATCGTGATGGTCATCTCATTGTCCACAATTCTATCTTCCATTTCACCACTTATTATGTGTCATCATCACTTCTCCTCTCCTCGTCACATCCTTACAACTGTATCGTAAATAGAAATTGTTTAGATCAAATTTATTGCATATTTATCAATTTTCAATCTGTGCTTTTAATAGATCCATAATTTTCTGTTCCATTAATTAACTATTCTGATAGTGGTTATCATCGTATCAATTGCATCATTCATTCCTTATCTTTGTCTACTCCCAAAATTATGAAAAAAATTCTAACATTGAAATTTTTATACCCAATAATAATAATAATAATAATAATAATAATACTTTAATTTGTCAGTAGGAGAAAGCTATATTGCTTTCTTAAACAAGCAAATTGTGGATTTTTGAAAAATATCATTTTAGGAATATTTAATTAAAAATTCTTTTCAGATAAATGACATTTGGTAATATACGATATTACATAATTTTTGTAGTATTTGTTTATGTTTTTGTTATAATTCAAACAAATCAAATTATTAAAAGCATTTCATTGGTTTTGAATGACACAAATATTGGTAAGTTATGTGTTAGAATTGAAATATTCTCTTTTTAAAAAAATCCAATTAAATATTTTGTTTAATTATGCATTTTCACTTTTTGCTCAATTCATTAATTTTCGATTTACTGCAGTAAATCAAGATTAGCATCTATTCAAAATTAATTACTAAATTTAACATAGTTTAGTTGACAAGCAGTTTACTTGTAAAAGGATGACAAAGTGCTATTAATTAGCTAAAATCTTAATAGGCATTTCGCTTTACTGTGAAGAAGGAATACCGTTATTGTTAGCTAATGATACGGTAAAAACATGTCGACCGAATGAAAATCCGGATAGCAATATGGCTTGTCCGGAAAGATTTTGGTGTCATGTTGGTGCAACACAAAATTCTTGGTATTGTTGTCCAAGAAGCAGAAAAGGTACATTAATTTGACGTGAACGCAGTTTCCGTAATACTTTAAAAATTATACATGAAACTAAAGGCTGATGACGAAAAAATAAATTTACGTTTATTGAATCTGCAAAAGAATGTAAAGGTATACTTCCGAAATTCTAGCTAATTTCTAGCCTAAATATTTTCGGAATTAACTGAATTAAAATTTTAAAGAATAGAATTGTAATATATTTTAAAGAATTGTAATATATTACGATGCAGTTTGAAACGATTTACATGAAAAAGTTAATTAAGAAAAGATTTAATTGAAATAATGTGTTCTGGTCTATATTTTATCATTCAGTAAAATTAATTAATTACAATTATTAATCGTATATTTGATTAATTAATTGCTTATCTATTTTATAATCGATTAATAACAAATTACAGTGAAAGAACGTTGCCATTTGGCACCAGCAAATGGTTACGGAAATGAACAAATCGGTCGATTTTGGTATGATTGGAAAAGTTCCACCTGTAAACAATTAACATATGCTGGATACGGTGGAAATGAAAATAATTTTATGACAAAAACAGATTGTGAAAAAGCATGCTTAGGTAAATTATTAATTAACTTTTAAAATTAAATTATCATCGTTCTTTTCTTTAATAATAAAGTATTGCTCATTCTTTTGGTTTAATTACTATTTTCTTTTATTGGGTAAATTGTCGTTCATTTCTCTTTTCCAAGGTAGATTATTATTCTTTTGAATGGGTAAATTATTGTCCATTCTTTGATCAATATTGTTTTCCTTTATTTACATAACTTTTTGCTTTCTATGTTAAGACAAATAAATTATTACTTCTTTTACTTCTTACATACTGTTGTAGATGAATTGTTATAACTTTTTTTTTTCTAAATGAAATACTTCTAATTGTTCTGGGTAAATTATTATCAGTTTTTATTTAGTATATTGATATTGTCAGAATGAAAAATATATTATGAAAAAGCATATTTTAGGTAAATTATTATTCAGTTGTCCTTTTGTGCTAAAATTTGTAATTTAAATAAGATAATTATCTTTTTTTTTTTTTGCCGATAAATTGCTATACATTCCTTTTATTAAAATATTATTTGTTTTATTAGTTAAACTGTTATCCGTTTATTTGGTTCATTTCAAATAATTTTGCATAAAATCGTTGTTTGTTTTTCTTTTCTTTTAGTTAAGCCAATGCTGAAATTAACTTCCAAAACTTTTTATTATTTGGAAATTTGCATAATTTTTCCTATATAATAGTTATTATGTCTTAATTTCAATAAAATTCTATTCTATACGAGTATTTCAGGTAAACTATCTGCAGAATCATTAGCATATGGTTCGCTTTCAAATAAACTTGGTGTTGGCAATCAAAAGTTTTCGGTGGAGGAGCAACAAAGTATCATTCAAAATAATTTCTTCTTAATTTTCTAATCTATTTTATTTACCCGAAAAAACGAAAAAGAAAACGAAAAATGTCCACAATATTTCTAATATGTTCTAAAATGATAGATACAACATTTCATAACTGATCATTTATCATGTTAGCTAACGTAAACAAAATTTCTGCGCACTTGTCCTACAGTTTCAGGTGTTGTCCCAAATCCTTGTGAACTCAGTCCAGATCGAGGAGTCACTGTTAGTGGCACTTTATCGTCTTATCGGTAATATTTCACTAACTTCCCAGAATGGTACCATCTTGCTGATAGTTGTTATTACTCAATTCAAATATGATTAATTAATGTTGCAATTACACACATTGTTATAAGTAGCTTTCGTCAATTTTACAAGTTAAAACAAAATCACAACTTTCAATTGATGATGTTTATTTTTACGGTTATATATCTCTATAAAATATGAAAACTTTCTTTTAAAAAAATCTGCATTTCAAATTTTAGATGGTATTTTGATATTTCCGCCGATCGCTGTATTCGATTCAATTATTTGGGTTCAGCAGGAAATGCGAATAATTTTGAAACAGATCGCATATGTTTGGATATTTGTGGCATTGGTTAGTGGCATTAGAAAGTTTGATAACAGAGAAATTTTTGGATTGTTTTTTTAAAAAAAAAAAAAATGTAAATCACATACTATTTTCATATGACAAAGATAACACAATAGGTTTTCTATATGTTATGAAAATTTAAGTTAAAAATTTGTTTTCCTTCAAAGAAAAAAAAAAGGAAAACTTAAACAAATTAAAAGCATAATTTGTGAAGAATTTGAATGTAGGGAAACTAAATTTAAAAAAATAACAATTTATAGCATATGGAAATGATGACGTAAATTGAGCAAAGAGTTTATTCATTTATTTTTTTTACGATAGAAAAATTTATTTTGTTTATGTTATTCAAAAAAAAAAAAAAATGAGTAAGAAATGATTTAGATACTAAAATAATGAGTAAATAAAGTAATTAAACAGACAAAATAAATAATAGAAACTTTCTCTTCGTCTTTTTACAGGGAATACTAGTGATGACAATATTTGCTTACTTCCCATTATGCCGGGTACTGGTCCATATAAAATCCCTCGCTTTTATTACGATTCTCGAAATAAAGCTTGTAAACAATTTGTTTATACTGGATTTGGTGGCAATAACAATCGTTTTACCAAATATGAACAATGTTCAGAGACATGCTTAAATCCTGGTATGAAATGAATGAATCATTTAATGATAAACGATAGCAATATTAATAATAATTATTAGTGTTGTCTCAATCAATATTTAAATTACCACTATTATTATTATTATTATTATTATTATTATTATTATTATTATTATTATTTTAATATCTAACAAAGTCTCGATGATCAGGGTCGCTTGCAACTACAACTGTCTCGCCATCGCCATTCGTTACTACTCAAATTACAACAAAGGAAATGTCCACATTATCAACAGAATCAACATTTAATTTTGAAAAGTTCAAACAATTGCAATCTTTAACAACAGTTCTTCCACAGCACTTGGTTCTTGTTGAAGAAGTTAAAGGTTTGCTAGGTATTTTGAAATTAGTTGTGTAACCGACTTGAACAAGAAGTTCTAATTGAATCAAGAATTATGAAGTAGAGCAGTATTCTGATAAATTGAGATAAGGAAAGAAAGTTCTAATAAAGTTGCAAGAGAATTTTACCCTCTGAAATATCTCTAAAATTTCTTCAAAAATTTCTCATTCTTATTCACAAGCAGCAAGTAAAAATTAGTACTATTTCTATATTCATTGGTATTATAAGACATTTTGAATTAAATTATCATTCAGATCTTTTATCGTCGATAACTACCAAATTAATTCCTATAAAATAATCACAAATCTAGTATTTAAATTGATAGGTCAAATAATATTATATTGTAATTTGTTATATTCCACAAAAAATGGTGCTTGCATCAGGTTTATACTTAATAATATGATTTGAGGAACTTCTATCTTAATTTTAGGTAGAACCAATTTTATTTGATTTTCAGAACTAATGTCAACAACTAACAATGCCAATCAATATAATAAGCCTTTCGGTGAAAATTTGAACACTCAAAATCTCTCTTCTCAAATGATAAGTTTTTAATTTTTAATAAACTACTTCCGATGATTGCAATGTGAAATCCTTTAACAAAAAGTTTTTTTTTTTATTTCATATAACTTATAACTATATTATGAGTTTTACAGAAAAAAAAAAATTTAGTTCTTTGAAGTCTATTATTTTAGTTGTACATAGAAATATTACACCTAAAATTGGTTGTTTAGCTTTTGACCTTTAGCCTTTGCGAAATTGTGTTGACAGTAAATAACACCGAAAGTAAATTTATTACATTAGTGTAGCACACATTATCTATAGGGAATATTTATATATAAATTTAGATGTCTGGAAGCGATGAAACCAATTCGATTCCAGCAAAGTCGAAAGTTGATGGAATCGTTGATATTATCAGTGGAGCTATCACTGATCCTTGTCTCCGGTCACTGCCAACTGGATTTCAATTGCAATACTGCTCTCCGTCTGATTCATTTCTGTGTCCTCGTGGAACATTTTGCCAAATTGGTTCTGGACCACAAGAAACATTCTGTTGTCCAATAATTGGTATATTCCTTTACTTCAATTTCAATTTTTAATTGAAATTAAAAAGCAATTTTTAAGTATATTTTATTTGAAATTAAAAAACAATTTTTTTTTAAAGTATATGTTTTAAATTTGAAAATTTTGTCAAAATTAGTCTTTACAATACTATAAATTTCCAAGAAAAAAAAGTATTAAATAACGAATGTCTATAATTTCAAAATGATCTTATTTTTTCTTAAATTTATTTGTAACGTTCATTTTTTTTTTTTTTTTTTTACCATTTGAAGCTGACAATCCATGCAAACAAACGCAAGAATCCGGAATTGGTTTAACCGGTTTAAGGCGTTGGTACTATGATGCCAGTGATAATTTCTGCAAAACGTTTGTTTTTAATGGTTTCAAGGTATGAAATCATTTACACATATAGCAAATGCAAAAAAAAAAGTCTGAAAATGAAAAATGGTTGGATAAAAATATGTATTTATTATTATTATTATTAATTATTAATAATAATAATAATTATTATTGGCTTCAAAAGCACAAAAGAAAACCATCATAATTAATTTCAGATTATTATTATTATTATTAGTTTAAATACAAATATGGAGAAATTCTATTATTTTCTTCTCCTTTATAAGTTTTATTTTACTTTCTAGGGGAATCAGAATAATTTTTTGACATTTCGAACATGTCAGCAAAGTTGCGGCGCTACAAATCCATGTGGAAATGGCGAACCACAAATGCAGACAAATGCACATGAACAGTATGCATATTCATGGCTGATATCGTAAATATGATAAATTGATAAGCTTATCACTTTGATTATCGTTTTCTTTCTTAAATCTGTTCCAATTTAATGAAATTTCAAAAGCTTTAGATGCACACCAGAAAATGTCCATTCATGCCCAAAAGGATTTTATTGCCGAGTTTTGGATGATTTGACAAAAACAGCCTGTTGTCCGGGAACTGATCAAAGTATGCTTATCAATGGCAAAAATATGATACTGAATCCTACGGCAAACATTAACTCTGCTTATGGTAGCATCTATAACGAGTTTACGAGTGGCAGTGGTAGTTCATCCACCTTTGACAGAAGCAGAATTGTTGATTCGACTGATACCGCTGAGATGGCGGCTATTAGTGGTATCTCACCGATCAGCTCTATCAGTTATTTCAATGCCAAACCTATTCTTTCCGGTGAATACCTCGGATATATGTCAGGTACAGCCACTGATATTAAGTCAGGTTTCGGTAATGCATCACAACCAAGTACTTTTGCCAGTCAGTTTGGTGCCAGGATTGAAGCACCTGATTTTAGTGGAGCAAATCCATTCGCTAACTTTTATTCTGGTATTCCAAAAAGTCCTGTAATATCTGAATCAATTAGTTCTGGTATTCCGATATTTCCTGGTGGTAATCCGGTTAGCACCGGTATCTCTACTGATTCATCAGTTGGGACTGCATTTGGAGGTGCTAGAATGTCAAACGAATTCAATACTGGGGTACAAAATTTAGTGTCAAATACAGCGATGGAAACAATTCGTAAGTTTCAAATTTTTTAAGCCAAAAGGTATGAATTATTGATCGATTTCGAGAAACTGAAATTAGAAATTCACAGAGCAGAACATATTACATTTTAAAGATGCAAATTTATTTGTTTAAATTTGAGGAGGAAATCGTTGTTTGCAACCGCTTGCACCTGGAACCGGTACATACAGTTTGCCACGATACTACTTCGATACAGAAGCATCACTATGTCGACCATTTATATATTCGGGATTCGGTGGCAATGATAATAGCTTTGAAACAATTCAGGAATGCCGGATGGCTTGTCCTGGTAAAAATGTTTTAAAATTAGAGCGACTAAAAATTTTTAGATTAAAATTTTTATAATAATAACAAAGTCTAGTCTAGGTATCTCAATAATTCAGAAATAACTGACATAATTATTTTATCAAAAAATCGGATTTGATTTTGTCATAAAAATTCAGAAAGTAAAAATCAGTTTTATCTATGTCATATCTGAAATTTTCAACTGCATAAAATCATTATTATGATAAATTACTTACAGAGTATGACAATCCTTGTCCTCTTGGATTGCCATACGTTGACAGAAATGATGGAAATGTTGCATTTTGCTCATCTATTAATCCTTTATGTCCTCCTAATTATTGGTGTCACATAGGAGATCGACGACAAACATCAGTCTGTTGCCCATCTTGTAAATTATTTAAATTTTATAGGAAAATTCTTAAAGCCATTATAAGGTATGTAGTGCCTGCAAATAAATGATTCATCGGTTAGCTTTTAAATATTCAAAGAGAGCATAATAAATGTCTAAAATTCTGAATAACCGATAAAACATTTATAAATAATTGGTAAAATTAATTGAAATTGGTACCACTTGAAATTTTATAATAGTTTTATCTTCATAACGTTATAAAATCAATTTATTAATGCTAAATTATATTTTAAATTCTAGCATATTTAACTATTCATTGATTTTCCTTAAATTTTCAGTAGCAAATGTAAATGCACTACCAATTACAAATCCACTAAGACCGCTAAGAAGTTTGGTATCGATGAATTTTATGCGAAATTTGAATGGTGCAGCTCTAGACACAGGAACTGATTTGGTAGAACAAAATGATATGGTCGGAATTATACCTTTAGCATGCTTTCAGCCTATGCTAGAGGGCAGAGGTAAAGCAAAGCTTACTCGATACTATTTTAACAGTATAGCAAGAACGTGTGAAAAGTTTATTTATTCTGGAAAAGGTGGAAATCAGGTTTGTTTCTTTTAAAATCCATTTACTTTCGTAGATTTGCTTTTGTAGCAAACGTACATTTCGGTAGTTCTAACATCTTTAGTTTACTTCAACAAATGATGTTTTGTTTAATTATTGGAATATTTATAGAGTCTCAAAAATAAATTATCCATTCGCACAAATTTAATTTGATATTTCTGAAAATTTATTTAAAATTAAGTACTTATCCTTATATTTCGTTTTTTTTTTTTTTTTTTTTTTCCTTCTTCTTTTGTGTATAATATGTGTAGATCTGATGCAAGAATGTTCTATTTATTTTTCCTATCAATTTTAGAATAATTTCTTGTCAAAGACGGATTGTGAAGAAACATGCCCGATATTAGAGAATCCTTGTGAAAATGGCCTGCCAGCTATGGGTCCAGAAGGTAACCCAATACTATGTGACAGTGACACCACCACTACCAGTAAGTGTAGTATCGGTTACTATTGTCACATTGGTGCGACATCCTCAACAACAGTTTGTTGTCCTGCAAGTAAGATTAATTTTCAAAATTTACTACTTGTTTTCTCCAAATTATTACGCCAAATTCAGAGCAAATTTATTTCTTTCAAATAATTTATTAATTTATGGACTGAAACTTATTGTGGAAATGTCATTCAGTTGGTGATCCTTGTCGTATGCCAGTATCCAGTGGAAATGGAAATGCAGTCTTGAATCGTTGGTATTACAATACACAATCACAAATTTGCGTGAATTTTGTTTATAGTGGTCAAGGTGGTAATTCAAATAATTTTCGAACACGTGAAGATTGCATTAAAGCATGTCCTGAATTTAGGTGGGATTATATTCTGGTTCAGATTTGCAAGTTTAGCCATAAACTAAGTATGGACAATACTTATGAAAGATAATTCATTATCACTATCAATAATATTTGCTATTATTATCATTAACAGTGACAATATAAAATTATTATTAATTACTATTAATAATAACAATTTGACATTTTTAATTAATTATGCTGATGATAAATGAGAAGCCAAAATTTCTTTTTTCAAGGATGAAAAATTATAACAATTGTGTATATATACCCAAGCTGGTATATGATAGAATGTTGGAAAGAAATGAAATACAAATAGTTTTCAAATTAAATTTCAAAAAATAGAATGATAAACCAAGAAAAAGATAAAATTCTCCCTAACCAATTTTAGAAATCCCTGCTCTACTGGACGTCCTCATATCGGTCTAAATGGGCAAATTACACGCTGCGGCGCTACTGGACCGTTGATATGTCCAACAACTTATTGGTGTCACATTGGTGCATCGCTGGAGAATTCGGTGCGCTACCTTGTAGAAATACTTACTGTTTTAACTAAATCCATGGACCGTTTTAATTTGATGCTTCTATAAATACAGAAACGGTTAAGATGAGTTGGAGGGAGGGCGATGCTAATGATTATACCTGTCAACCATAATTCAGGTTTGCTGTCCTGCTAATGGGATACCATGCGAGCAGGAACTAGAAGTAGGAAGCGGTGATGCATTATTGGTACGATTCTATTATGATTCAGCAACGCATACCTGTCAGCAATTCCAGTACTCTGGTCTTGGGGGAAACGAGAATAATTTTCTGACGTTACGAGATTGCGAAGGACGTTGTCCAGGTAATAATAATTATTTATGAAACGTCTTCCAATTTGAATTCTGTGATCATCTGTTGATTCCTGGATCCGTGTAATATCTAATTATATTACGCATTTGTGACGCACGTGACATGAAATTCATGAATGGATGTGTTTTGATAAAGATTTGAATTGCACTATACGCAGTTATGTTTTTGAATGTTGAAAAAAAGTTTACATTTTTTAGTACTGCCAAATCCATGTGGACTTGGACCACCACAAACAGATGAACACCAGAATCCAGTTATGTGCAGTGCTACCGATGCTAGGTTGGTTATCTGCAACCTACAATTATTACCATAATTCCTTACAATAAGTCTTATCTGGTACTCCAAAAATTACTTTAAAATTTAAGAAAAATTTTGTACAAAATGTCAATCTTGTGCAAAACATAAATTTTGAATTTAAAAATTACATCTTTCATTATTATTATTATTATTATTATTATTATTATTATTATTATTATTATTATTATTATCATTAACAACAATTTTTACAGCGTATGTAACACGGGCTACTTCTGTCATATTGGTGACACAGAGGAGACAACGGTTTGTTGTCCAGGAAAATCCAATGATATTTGCAATGAACCGAGTGTACCGGGAACTGGTCAAGCACAGTTGAACCGTTATGCATTTGTATCGTTAACCAAACAGTGTTTACCATTTATTTATACCGGTTTGGGTGGAAATGAAAATAATTTCCTGTCACGAGCAAGTTGTGAAGCAACATGTCCTGGTTTGTATTGCTGGATTGAAATTAAAATTCTCCCATTTAAAAAGTAATTTTACAAATTTCTGCGATTTATTTCATGCAGTTGTTAATACTTTGTTTGTATTACAATAATATTGAAAATGAAAAATATTTCCTTCCATTATTTAGCAGATTATCAATTGCATTTTCATACTATAAAATTTGAGTATTTTGAAAAGTTTCAGTAATTTCAAATCCATGTGCAGACGGTGAACCAGCAGCAGGAAGTGATGGACGATATCTAATCTGTTCAACTAGTGGACCTAATATTTGTCCGGTTGGCTACTGGTGCCATGTAGGTGCTGATATCGCTGCCTCTTTGTGTTGTCCTGGTGGTTTGTTTTTTATTCTCGAGATTTTTTTTAAATTTCTTGAATTGTGATGTTAGAAGCTTTAGAATAATGGAACTACTTTATTAATTTTTAAGCATGAATTTCGGAAGATTAGTTTAATTGTTAAATTTTTGTCGCATTATCTTATTTTAACAAATTTTAGCTCAAAATGCATGCGTTTTGCCGCTTGCGGAAGGTTCCGGAAGTGTAGCAATTCCACGCTGGTACTTTGATCGTCGTTTACATCAATGCGCTACATTTACCTATTCAGGTTATGGTGGTAATCAGAATAATTTTCAAACATTAAAGGAATGTCAGGAGAAATGTCCCGAATTAGCGTAACTTTTCGTTTTTATATTAAATTATACTAAAAATAATTATAAACCAAAATTTTAAACTTTTTCATTTATTTTGTTGCGTGAATATTTTCTACTTCAGCATAGTTTTTTAGTCCATATTTTTATTCTACTCAAATAATTCTTTCCCTTTTTTTTGATCTTTTAAATTAAAAATTTTTCTTTCAAAATGAGAAAATCTTTCAGGAATCCATGTTCAATGGGTGATCCAGCCCAATCCATAGATGGTAATATTTTGCAATGTACCGCATTACATCCCCAATGTCCAACATCCTATTTCTGTAACATTGGTGCGACACCTGAGACATCAGTTTGCTGTCCATCGTTTGGTCAACCCTGCTTATCACCATTAGCTGTCGGAACCGGAAATGCTTCACTTAGCAGGTTCCTTTCACTTTTTTTTTCACTAAATCATATTATTTCATTCAGCGATCGGTGTATTGAAGTCAATTTTTTTTTTTTTTTCATAATGAAATTAAATTTTTTAATTTAAAATTTCATTACTACTTCAATCAATCTTTCAGATGGTTTTTTGATCAAAATTCTCGGCAGTGCCTTCATTTTATGTATACTGGTCTTGGTGGTAATGAAAATAATTTTTTAACAGCTGAAGCTTGCACGCAAAAATGTCCAGGTAAATATATTCACAATTATCCTACTACTAGAAATTGAAAGCAAAGAAAGCATTTGAAATTGCAACTTTTAATTTTGAAAATCGAATTTATAAAAGAACTTTTAAAAATTTAATAAAATTTCAGTTCTTCGAAATCCATGTCCGTTCGAAAGTACCATAGCAAGTTCGAATAATTTGCTAGCGTTAGCAAAATGTAATATTCAAAACGCATATTACTGTCCACCAACATATTGGTGTCATGTAGGTGGTGATGCTGATACTACAGTGTGCTGTCCAGGAGGTAGAATGCCTTATGCTAATTTCAAATTATTTAATATCACTTATGAAAAGAGTTTCTTCATCGTCTGTGAAAGTTAAACTTGTAATCAGGAATTGTATTTAGCTTCGGATCCTTGTCAGTTACCACTATCTCAAGGAATTGCCACTGATAAGGGACCATACACTCGTTGGTTCTATGATCGTATTTCTGGCTCTTGTAAGCCATTTCAATATGCTGGTATTGGTGGTAATCAAAACAATTTCTTAACAAGAGCCGACTGTGCTAAACATTGTCCAGGTGTGAATATTAGCCATATTAGTACTATATTTAATTAATGTTAATGTTATAATTTAATTTGATTATACCTGTTTCAGTTTTATTTCAGCTATAGAAAAAAATTAGTATAATTATGAAAAGAAATTAGTAATTAATATTTTATTTGGCATATTGAAATAGTAGAAACAATCTTTCAAAAAGTACAAATTTATAATTAAACTGCAAGAAAATTTCATATATCACATTTTATTGGTTTTAAATTTATTTGAATTAAATTAATTTCAACAATTTGCAGAAGGTGAACCTGTTATGGTAGTATCACCATTATCATTGTTACCACTGTCAAATTTATCGGCTATCTGTCCAACAGGAATGCCATATCAGGATGAAAGGGAAGTAATCATACATTGTTCTGTCACCAATCCGTGTCCTGCAAATTATTTTTGTCACATTGGAGCTGACATATCAACAACTGTATGTTGCAAAGTCACAAGTGAGCATTCAACTTTATTAAATATCATGAAAAATTTTCCATTAATTTATGCCGAAGTATTTACAAAAATTAGCAAGAGATAATCAAGATAAGGTTAAAGGTTAATGTAGCATCTTTTATTTTCATGCTCATTACATCGTTACAAAACTGATCCGTCAAAAAATATTGTTAAATAAAAGAAAAGATATCAGTTAGAATCATTGCTAAATTGAACAAATTTATAGCATTCATGTCACCATGCAGCATTCCGGTACAAATTGGTCATGGAATCGGACAAGAGAAACGTGTGTATTACAATGCTGCTCTCCGGCAATGCATACCATTCATTTATTCCGGAATGGGTGGAAATGAAAATAATTTTTTGACAATTCAAGAATGTGTCGTCAAATGTTTAAATGATGAATCAAATGTTATTCGATATTTTGATAGTGGTAAGTTTTTGCTTGTTCATAGAAAAGCAAATTATGCCTTAAAATAGAATGATTAATTGATTAATTTTGAAATCTATGACAAATTGTAAAACTAATCGCTGTACAAAAAATATTATCTTTGTGCAGAGTTTATTATTTATTAATTACAGTCTTTAAATCGTATAAGAAGTAATAGTTATAGGTCATATCACGAGAATACTTAATATGTCTAAACAAAATGATATTTTTTTATGATAGATAGATCAAAGACATAACTATTTCAATAAATAATCGTCGATGTTAGAGTCGAAAGGTGAAATGTATCGATCATTACTATTAGATAAAATTGTAGGTCCTTTCATATCGATTTTAAAGATTAAAAAAAAGCTTCGAAATCATACCTATAAGTTCTATCTTGTAGAGTGAAACGAGTAGTAGTATATAAGATATGTTACATTGTAGCAAATAGGTGGAAAATCTTAACATGAAGTATAAGGGAAAGCAAAAAAGTTGAAAAAAGTAAATTCTAATTATTTCGTTGCCGTTAATGTGGGACAAATGCTTAATGGTGTAGCTAGAGTTATTAATGTATTAGGAACTTATTGTTATCTCTTCTTCAATTGTTAATCATTAAGAAATAAAATTTGCCAGTCTTGCTTTTAAATTCTTTTAAAATTATAAATGTTAAGGTTCAATTAATAGTGATGAAACGAATTGTAACGAAACAAACCAGACAAATTCAAACGTATGTATTGAAATTTTTTGATTGAAAATACAAATGGAAGACAAGAAATGATAGTTGAAATGATTAGTTAACTTTAAATAATTCTAGCTGATTAAATTATCGTTTTTTAATACTTTCCTGAGTTATTGGTTTGATAAGTGACAATTTATTTCCTTCTGTTCTTTCTTTTAGATAATTCATGTCAATTACTTGCAGTAAAAAATAGCTCACTTTTTAGAGATGTAATTTTGTGAAAGTTAACGATACGACAACCAACAATATCAGTTCTAGCAAGAACGACGATTAATAATTAATATTACCGTGCAAGTGTTAATTTGAAATCAAATATAGATAATATAAGTATCAATTCGTAAAATAGAATTTTTTCTGATTTTATTTACTTTGTTTTTATTTACTTTGATATTAATTATTGATAATTCAATAATGATTTTTATCAAATAATGATGAATTACTCATTTTGTAAGTTGCAAGCCAAATCTAAGTGAAATTTCACTTTTTTTTTTTAAAATTTATGTTTTTTTACGTGATTTTAGAATTTTCTTCAACGTTATTTGTACGTTTACTCATATCATCCGCATTACTCTCGAAGCGCAATTAGCTGTTACATTTTTGTGTTTCGCAAATAAAAATACTGAGCTGTTAAAAAAAAAAAACATTAATTAATTAAAAATAAAAATAAAGAAAATTGAAGTGAAATCTTATAATTTCCTTTTTTCAAATTTTTTTTAAAATTGCTGCAAAAGACAAAAATATTCACTATTGGAAAGCAAATATGAACATTTTCTGTTTCTAATTTCATTTTTTAAATTTATATTCTTAGAAAATTGTTTTAATTTTTTACAAAATGAAGTAACTTCAATTCTACAATTTGTCATAATTTTGAATGAAAATTTTTATGTTGTTTTTTGGAGTTTTTCTACTTTCACAGCTCTTTTACTTCCCATAAATTTATCGCTTTTAGCCAGTACAATTTGTTATACGAAATTTTGAAATAAGTAATAAGAACAAAAAGAAATTTTCGTATTTGAACTTTTCTCTTGCATTTGAAATTTGATATTTGATGAACTCGTTTTCAATTAGAATTTCAAAATTCCACTATGTCAATTTCATTTCAAAAAATAGAAATGAATTGATTTATGCATCCTTTCAGAGAAACAATTCTTTGAATGAAAAATTAAGTTTAATTTATATTTACATGTTATAGTGATGGCATACAACATGCACCTAAGAAGTAATTAGTAATAAATTATGATTAATCAATCTTAAGTGCTCTAACCGGAATATAAAAGAGAATTTTGATCGGATAGCAGTTCTTTTTTTTAACTTTTTTGTTTCCTTTTTCCTTTTCATTATTCCGTTCAAAAAACTATATATTCGCCTACTTAATTATTTATTTCTTAATTAGCAAAAAAAAAAAAAATAAAACAAATTTTGTCTTGCCTGAAATGATTGATTCGAATTTTGATGAATCTTTTTTTTTTTTCTTTCTGCTTATGTATTTTTCATTAATCATTTATTGCTATTTGAAAATACCAAAAAATGAAGAAAGATTTTTCGACAGAGAAAAATAGATAAATCATTTCAAAATGCACATACAGTGCTTGCATATGGCATAAAAAAAATTTGCTAAAACATGCAAAGCTTGAAGTAATGATTTGAAAATCAATGACATTGACAAAAACGAGTGACATTTTTATTGCAAAAAGTATTAAAATTAAAATTTTACAGTGGCAGTATGATAGAATACAAAAGAAAATTTAAATGACAATGAAAATTCATAGTTTTATTTGGAAGGGATACTGATTAAAAGTGTGAAACAATGAGAAAATCTTTCATGCATATTTTACAGAGTTTAAAAATTCTGAAATATTTGCGCTTTCCTCTGCTGTTTCTGAAGTATCACAAATTTTTAAAAGCATAACAAACTATGCCAGCTTTGTTCACCTGGCAGAAATCAACGGTATATGCACTGTAAGTAAGATCACCAGTGCTACAAAAGATATTGTATTCACCCAGTAATTTTGTCACTTTTTTCATGATTAGCTTTTGTGACACTATTAGATTCGATGTCATCATCTGTAAAAAAAAAAAAAAAAAATTAATTTACATTTAAAAATTTAATTCACTGAATTAGCATTTATTTACTTGGTGATAGCAATATTCTGAAAATAATAATAGTTAAGTTATCTGCAATAATTATTTATGGAAAATTGCAAATAGTAACGTAAAAATTTTCTTATTTAAAATTGCTTAAAAATGTTCAAACCTTAGAAATAATTTCGCCGAGTATTTTATTGTTGCATACAGAATTTACTGTAATAATTGTATCATTTGAAATATTTCGTTTCATCCGCTTAATACATTGTTTGCCACATGTTTTGCAACATTCATTCAGAATAATTGGCTTATTAATTATTTTGTAAATTGGTTTTACAACTGGGATTGGTACTGTTTTTATAGTTGGTTTCTAAATTTAATAAATAAATTCTGCTACAGAACTTGTTATAAATGTTTGTAAAATATGAAACAATTTAATTTTAATAAATTGAAATAGAGAAAAAATCAACGAAAAGTTAAAAAATTTTATGCAAAAATTTATTTAGCAATTTTGCAATATTTAGAGTGAAATAAACTGAAAAAAATGTTGGTAAAATAACTTACAATGCATACAGGGCACGATTGAGGTAAGAGAATAGGGCAAACTGGTACTGGCGGGCAGATTTTGGGTTGGCAGATGACTGGTGGTGGGCAAGAAGAACATGGTTGAGGTGACGGGCACGATGGGCAATTGCAACTTGCTCTCAACAGGCCAAATAATACAAATTGGGTAGTGGACAACAGAAATAAATAATTGAACATTTTTCTAAAAATATTTAAATAATTTACTTATTTTACTATGGAATAATCACCGATCCGGTCAATAATGCATTCGTTAATTAAAGTTTAGCTAACCTCTGAATCTAATCCGGTTTTTTCATCCATCTAACAAGCCGAAATTGAGCAGGGAATTTATTTTCTTCCTTTCTAATTCCTTGTTTTTATGATTATTTATCAGATTCATGAAATACTTAAATAATAATAACTTACACCTGACAAGCAAAACTCAGGTATCAATTCAGAAAAGAAGCAGTTTACAATTTCTAGAATGACTTTTTGCAGGCATAAGCAATTTGATTTAGACAGAAAAAATTCATGAAAAGAAATGAAAATTTCATTACATAATTATTTTCTTTTATGTCACTATTAATCGTAGACATAAATTTTTGAGGTTACTATGAGAATTCTCTGTTTATGAATCATTTATATGAAATTAAAAAAAAAAAAAATAGAAAAGTTTACAAGGTGGAACTGTTTTGATACTTAATTGCTGCTCAAACCTTCCTTTTATATAATTCTTTTCCTTTTTTGGCCCATAAATATTCCATGAAATAATTGCAAATTTCTTCTTCATATTCGGTTTCCGGTTTGTCGATTCTCTATAAAAGGCCTTAAAAAATGTTGAGAAAATAATAACATATTATGCAGTACATATATCATTTCATTTTTCTATCCAAAATACTTTAGCATCAATAATTTTTGTCTAATGCTTCAGTATTTTATTTTCTGCTTAATATAGATAATGATAAATTTATCACCTAATGATTGCATAATAATCTGATTATCCGACAAGCAATAAAACTTATTTTTTTTACTATTTAAATCTTTATGTAGCAAAAAATGGTATTAACTGAAATATTCGCTTTATAATTTTCCATGAACTAAAGTGTTGAACTTCATGAAATGTTGTAAAGATGTGTTAAGCAACATTTTAAGTTTATTATTTAACAGACCAATTGTATTTCATAAAGCTCCAAAAACAAAGTATTTAAATCGTCATTTTCAATAAAGTTAAATGTTTACGTAGAAATAATGTGGCATCAAATAGAGACTTTGTTGATTAAAATATTCTCAAATTTAGTTTAAATCAAATTTTTTGATTTAAATTAATTTTTTAGCAATATGCATTATAGAATCTTACATTTGGTAACTCATTTCAGATCTTATTCAATGACTGAAATGTTCCGTCAATGTGGTATTATGTTCCTCGTTACAGTACACGTGTACGTCATAGAAGCGTCACCATGTCGTTGCTCATCTTGTCAGACATCGGGAGTTTCATGCTCTAAGCCTGTCGTGTGTCCCACACCGGTCAGCTGCCCACTACAAACATGTCCAGTACCGTCACCATGTCCACAACCACCTCCATGTCCGCCATGTCTTGTAAGTATTTCAATCAGTTATTCTTAACTTTTCTTTTTTGCGTAAAAATTTCTTTTAAAATATAATATTTATGTAAAAAAGAAATTTTTTGATTTGTTAAAAATTTGGTAGTCAAATGAAGAAAAGATTAATATATATGAATTAATTAGCTAAAATTTACACTGAATTAAAAAACAAAAAGCATATTTGCTGTAAAAAATGATAAATTTAAATGATTTGTTTATTTGTTACTTGTTTAATGTCCTTTAAACAAGCAATTGAACTTCCAATTATTTCAAGCATAAACAAAAAAAATCCCACCTGACATTCATCGTTTTATTATTTTTCATTTCAGAATACAGTAATACAACAACCGGTACTTGTTACTTATCGAGTAATAGTGCCAGTAGTACGAAAAATTCCTATCATTGAAAATACCTGCTGCAGTACTTGCGCAATTCCGTGTATTGCACGTAAGAAACGTGAATTATTAGCGGAAGATGAATTATTAATCAATAATAGCACCAAATTACCAGTGAATCCTGTATGCAATAGCAAAAGCTTGCAAGAAATAATGAGTGAAGTATGGATCAATGTTTATGCTTAATTTACAACTTTACAGCTAATTAATTCATTTCCTACTAATCATCCAATCAATTGATCAATCGATCAATCAACCAATCAATCAAATAATGCTCGCTGGAAATAATAGAATCATTTTTTCTTATCTTTGCAGAATATTTCGACAACTGCTGCTGAATCACAACGTTTAATTCAAAAAGTATCGGAAACTCAACTCGGTGGACATTTCAATGTTCTCTGCAGCAACAGCGATCTGTCCTATTCAGTACTTACCACTTCAAGTTTCTGTCAATATCAGAAGGATAATATCATATGCTATGCTTTTAAAATGCCCTAATTTCACTAAATGAAATCATTTTATCTTTTACGAAACTATTAATTTTCATTCTAAAATTCTGCTCCTCAGATATCAATAATAAACTGCTTGTAATAAAAAGTAGATATTGATTAATTTTAAAAGTTATAATAGTAATAAAATTAATTCAATTAATTTTTATTTGTTTGGAAGGTTAGTTAAAATACTGATATGTTTTCATTGTTGTTGGAAAATTTACGATTAGTTTTGTGATAGGGATAATTTGTGATAAATTGATATGTTAATTATAGAAAGGGGTTTTTCATATGAATATATGAAAAAGTGGCAAAGAAAAACAGCTTTTTATTTATCATTCAGTGAAACAAACATGACTTATTTGACATCAAGACTTTCAGATTTTCTTTTTTCTTGAAATTAAAAAAATTTTGTGCTTTTCAAAACTTTAATAGAAATTTATGAACTACAAATCTTCAACACGAACGAATCACATATATGATTTTTGTTTTATTGTATCACATCAATCTTTATTGGTTTATATAAATAAATTCATTTTCGATAGTAACAATTTTATATTATATATATTATTATTTCAATTTGGTTCATTACAAATAAGTCACTTACTTGACAAATAAAAGCGAAATACTTGGCAAATGAAGTACGAGATTAATATAGCTGGTACCATTTAAATAATATTTGATGAACAGTTCAAAAACATTGCAGTTATAGGAGGTAACAAATAAGTCAAAATTTACATGCTTCATTTGTGATCACGTGATACACGTAGTTGTTGGTATACAGCTAGCAAAGTTATATCATCAACTTTTCCATAAACTTTAACAATTTCAACGTCCGAAATTATTGGGACACGAATACATATATAGTCCAGAACAATCAGAGCACTGAAAAAAGTATTTTGCTACAGAGAAAAGCATAAGGGAGAAGATTGAAAGAGAAAATGCTTCTATTTGATCTCATTTAAAAATGTTTATGAAAGTTGTAAACAACATTAGCTTCCGTTTGAAATAATGCCAAAAACGATTGAAATTACTGAATCTTTAATTTATGAATGAGATTTTGAAGACAATAAACAAGTAAAAATGCTGTTTCGATAAGAAATTAAGCATAAAATCGCAGAATTTTAATAAGCAATGCGAAAACATTGACGTAAAATTTACTAATCAATAAAATGACGAATTTTAATTTCGTTAAATCATTTACGTCGGATAGATTAGCTATGCACTGCACACAAACTTCCCAAGCGCTTCATTAATTAATCGAATGCTACACTCCGATTCATCGTGAACAGGTGAATTTGTATCAGACCAAACATCCTCCTCATTTGCTTTTTATTGTTCCAATCAGCCAATTGATCTATCGATTTGTTACTGGGGTTCAACCGCTAATTCTAATTCCAATTAAAATACTAATATCTAATGAGTAACACTGACAGGCTACATCGAATTAATGATTCCTTGACTCTGACTTAGAACTTTAGGAAAAAAGACCACCGTTTTTTTCTTTTTTAATTTTACTATGGTTGAGATTTGAAAGGTTGATAAGTATTAGAAATATCAATTAGTACTCATTTCACCACTACTTTCACACATTACATGATGCAAAGAAATTCAATAAGCTTAATTTGCATGCATACATAGCAAATTTGAAAATGAAGTCGAAGCCAAAGATTATAAAAATTTGTTGAAATCATTTAGCACTTATAAATCAATATTAAGAGATGCAGCAATGCAGTTTTCCCCTCTCGTTAATATTCCCAAAGATTGGAAAATGTGGAAAAATTGAAACAAAATGAAATAAAATTGCAAAAAATGTCACAATTGCTTTGCATAAATTATTTTTAACAGTACAATATAGCAGCTGAAATGAAATTATTCAGTGTAAAGAATCAAACACTGATTGCTATTATCATATCATTATACGTAATATTTTATATTCTATTATTATTATCCCTATATTGCTTGTTACACGTCGACGTAAGTTATCAATATACATAATTTGCCACCTCCATCTGAATGAGCATTTATACATGCGATTATTTAACAATATCTAACAGAAATAATTGGATGGCCTCTGTCAAACTCTCTTCCACGATTTTCATTTATTTATTTTGTTTTATTTTCAGAGTTCTGACTTATGAGAAAGATTTTGGGACTCGATAATAATTTAGAAAAGCATTTTTTTGGAGAAATTTCTTATTTGCGTATTTGTTAATGAGCTATCGTAAAATTTGAGTGTTTTCAGGGTTGGCAACAAATTATTCACATTGGCAATTGCCGTGCATTTCATTTATTTCTTCTTCTTTTTGCAACTGAGCAATATTCAAACAACCGTAAGTCCATTTAAACTTTAAAAAATACAACATAGCGTTGCGACACCTAAAATTTTACACAGTATGAAATTGATAATTTCATATCATTTGAGGTAGCGCAAACAGATCAAACAGAACCATTGGATTTATCAATATCAAAAGCGAAAAAGAAGAGGGATGGATTAGAAGGCTTATCAATGGAAAGAGAGAATGAAGAAGAGATTGGATTGCAAGTGCTTCAAACAAAACCATTGGATTTATCGGCTCCAAAAGCGAAAAAGGAAGGAAATAGGGCACAAGGTTTATCAGTGGAGGGAGTGGCTAATGAACGAATTAAACCGCAGCAACAGCTTGTTACAATGGAAACAGTGGAGGTAATGGAACTATCAAAGAAAGAAAGAAGGGCGGGAAGGAAGCAGCATTGCAATATATGTCAAAAGGAAGTAACACATATGAAAGAACATATGATGACTCATACCGGTGAGAAGCCGTACAGTTGTTCAATATGTAAAAAGAAATTCACTAGTTCCAGTAATATGAATAAACACATGTTGATTCATACAGGTGAAAAGCCGTACAGTTGTTCAATATGCAAAAAGAATTTCACTCAGTTCGGGGATGTGAAAAGACATATGATGATTCATACCGGTGAAAAACCGTACAGTTGTCCAATATGCGGGAAAAGTTCCACTGATCCCAGTAATATGAAAAGGCACATCATGACTCATACCGGTGAGATGCCGTACAGTTGTCCAATATGCAAAAAGAATTTCACTCAGTTCGGGGATGTGAAAAGACATATGATGATTCATACCGGTGAAAAACCGTACAGTTGTCCGATATGCAGGAAAAGTTTTATACAAAAACACATTTTGCAGTCTCACATGGTAACTCATGATATGAATAGACCTATCTACAACTGTACTGTATGCAGTAAATATTTTAAGACTAAAAGAAGCCTGAAATTTCACATGCAGAATCATTAAACCTTGTGCACTTTAAAGAAAAGAAATGCGCTTTGATAGTTCTGTTGTTATTGATTATTTATATTTTCTATTGGTCAAATTCTAGTTACATATTCCTTTTTTTATTGACAAATTATTGTTAGTATCTTTGGTCTTATATGCAAATTAAGGTCATTTCCTTCACTATTTTGATCCCTGTAATGTATTTCTCAACATTAGGTGCATCATTGATTTCATTTGTATATGGGCAGTCATCTATCATGTAGGTATTATTTTTTTTTTTTTTTTCTATATTTTAATTTTGCTAAATTATGTTTTAATTAAATGCCAGCAATAAATTACAACATCGGCTGCAGTTTTCTTCCATGTATCTTCACATATTAGATTAATAGATAACAGATTAGCGAAAGCCAGATCAACTACTAATAAGAACAAACCCAAAACTTTTTAATAACAAGATAATTAGTGTATGATATTCCGTTCACCAACAGTTTCTTTTTTTTTTTTTCATAGAGATAAAGATAATTCACACCAAAATGACCACGTTCTTTTTTTAGTTTCATTATGGTTGAAATTTGAAAGATTAATAAGTGTTAGAAATCATCAATTGATACTCATTTGACAGCTACCTTCATCACATTATATGTTGCAAAATATTTTAATAAGCTTAATTTACATACTTACATAGCAAACTTGAAAATATAGTCCAAACCAAAGATTAGAAAGATTTACTGAAATCATCGAAAATGTAAAAAAATTGTGCAAAAAATATCACAACTGCTTTGCATAAATTATTTGCAACAATGCGATATAGCAACTGAAATGGAATTATTTAGTGTATAGGATTAAATAGTGACTGCCATTATCATATCACTGTACGTATTTTTTTATATCCTATTGTTATTACTATACCTGTGTTATTATACGTGGACATAGGTTATCAATCCACGTAGTTTGCCACTCCCATCTGAATGAGCATTTATACATACAATTCTCCAACAATACCTAAACAGAAGTAATCGGATAGCCTCTGTCAAACTTTTCTACAAATTTCATGCAGTAAGTTCTGTTTCACTTATTTCGATAGAAGATGTTACTACTTTTCAAACTTTTGAGTTATGACAAGGATTTTGAATTCGATGATAAATTTGTAAATAATCTAATATATTTAAAAAAGCATTTACTTGAAAAAACTTCTCCTTTTCGCACTTTTCAGAATTGGCAAGAAATTATTCATTGACATGCATTTCATCTATTTTTTTTTCTTCTTCCAACTGAGCAATATTCAAACCACCGTAAGTCCATTTAAAGTATAAAAATGCAACATAGCGCTGCGATTTAAAATTTTACACGGTATCAGATTGATAATTTTATATCATTTGAGGTAGCGCAAACGGATCAAACTGAACCGTTGGATTTATCAATATCAAAAGCGAAAGAGAAGAGGGATGGTTTACAAGGCTTATCAATGGAAAGAGAGAATGAAGAAGAGATTGGATTGCAAGTGTTTCAAACAAAGCCCTTGGATTTATCGGCTTCAAAAGCGAAAAAGGAAGGAAATAGGTCACAAAGTTTATCAATGGAGGAAGTAAGTAATGAACGAATAAAACCTCTGTTACGGCTCGTTCCAATCGAAAAACTGATGGAAGTAGTGAAACTATCAAAGCAAGAAAGAAGGACGAGAAAAAAGCAGCGTTGTGAGATATGTCGAAAGGAAGTAATATATATGAAATCACATATGACGACTCATACCGGTGAGAAGCCGTACAGTTGTTCAATATGCAAAAAGAATTTCACTCAGTTCGGGGATATGAAAAAACATATGATGATTCATACCGGTGAAAAGCTGCACAGTTGCCCGATATGCAGGAAAAGTTTCACACATAAACACCATTTGCTGTCTCACATGGGAACTCATGACGTGAATAGACCTGTCTATCACTGTACTGTATGCAGTAAAGATTTTCAGACAAAAAATGGCTTGAAATTTCACATGCGGAATCATTAAACCTTGCGCACCTTAAAAAAAAGAAATGCTTTGCTATTTCTGTTGTCGTTGATTATTTATATTTTGGATTGATCAAATTCTAGTTACATATTCCTTTCTTTGTTGACAAGTTGCTGTCGGTATCTTTTATCTTATATGCATATTAAGGTCATTTCCTTCACTGTTTTGTTTCCTGTAACGCATTTCTCAACATTAGCTTCATCCAATGATTTCATTTGCAATTAGCCATGTGTGCTATGCACGAGATATTTGCAAATAAGTATCGATGTTGTTAAATTACTAATAAAATGAAATTGCTCATATGTATTCCTTTCTCGATTATTGCATATATAAAATGAAAATAAATTTTTGGGAAAGAAAAGAATCATCTTAATCACAACATATCATTTACATTCTTGGCTGCATCTCACTTATACATTAATATTCGTTGTTTGTTGCATAGTATAAGGTTGCTTATAGTATTTTTATGCAAAATCTGCTATAAGGAAGTTCCCTTATGATCTCCAACATGTTGTAAATTTATGAAATTATGAACTTAAATTGCAACTAGAATCATACGGTGGAAATAATTTTCTTCCATCAATAAACTTTTTTGCCCATTCAGCATTTTTTGATTCATTCTTTATTTAAATGGTGGAAGAGATATAACAGAAGAAAGTGGAAGATAATTTGACTTATTTGTTAGTTTCCTTCATTTTTCCAAAAAAAAAGAAACTGTTAGTGAACGGAATATCATAATAATGATTTTACAAATAATATTTTCTGGGTTTATTCTTATTAGTAGTTGATCCGGCTTTCGCTAATCTGTTATCTATTAATCTAATATGTGAAGATACATGGAAGAAAACTGAAGATACATGGAAGAAAAAATTCGTGGAGAAAATAAATAAATATTCCGTTTGAACCCCATTTTCTGTGTATATGTGTGTAAATAAAGCCTATTAAATTTTTATAGTTATCGTATATAACATATAATGTGATGAAGGTAATGTTACTTTATAGCAGTCATCTATTACATAGGTATTATTTTTTTTGCTGAATTTTAATTTTGCTAAATTATGTTAAAAAAATGCCAAAGATGGTGGTAAAGATCACTGACTGAGAGTGAGATTAGTAATGAGAAGCATTGGTTGCGTCCAATAATCATTTGCACAATATCTGGTTGGCATCACTTGAAATGCTGACCCTGAAGGTATCAGTCCGCCATCTATGGCTATATCATAGCCTAGTTTCAAGTTACTTTTGATTATAAGCTCGGACTAGAACTATTTATAATTTTTCAACTAAAACTTTATTTGACAATTTGTCTTTACAAAAATGGATAGTGACAAGATATAATTTATACATTTTAAACATGCGTTCTGGTAGTTTTCTTTAATGAATTTTAAGCAAATTCAAATAACCTGCAAAATCTTTTACAATTTTTTATTTCATAAACAATAAACAATCAGTCATTTATTTCAAGCGTCATTTTGGCAAATTCAAACCGTGATTAACATTGTTCCAATCGACATGTTAAGTTAGATTCATCCAAACGAGCATATAGAAGGTGAGGCACATCAATTCCTGAACTAAGTATAAAACAGTGCTTTTAACGATTCGTCTTTCATCCTCTTTCCGATATTGAATATCGACATATAGTGTAAATGATATGTAATTCAATTAACTGAAATTCATTGCATTATTTTGGCTAACAAATTGTCACAGTCAGTGAACAAACGATTTAGTAGGCTTTTTAAAAAATTTAATAAGCTTAATTTACACAATGTAAACAACTAATATAACAAAACCTATTCCAAGAAAAAACCTAAAAATACAAATGAACTTTAGAAACTTTTGATTTCGGAATTTGAAAATTGAAAATATTAAGGAAAAATGGAATAAAATTGTGCAAAAAATATCACAACTGCTTTGCATAAATCCAGTCAGATCCAACCGGTTTCAAAAGTGTAGGCATCCATGATTTCTTTATTTTTTAAGTTCTAAAGAATTAGTCACATTTATTTTAATCTGTTTAAAAGAAATTTTTTTTTTTTTACATTTATAGTAAGCAAGCTGTTGCGTTTCCTTTTTGATCCATTTAGAGATCCGAGATAATTTTAAGGTAATAGAATAATTTTTGAAGCCTAATTTGAATAGTTCTTACCTTTCAACAAACTCTTTAACTTTGAATGATATTTCTCTCTGTGTAAATTATTTGCCACTTTGCATTTAACTGATTCCATCACTGCGTTTTAAGTAAAAAAAGATGACAAGGAATTATTTCCATCGTACGACTTTTCTAGTTGCAACTAAGTCCAAGATTTCATAAATTTACAGCATGTTGGAGATCATAAGGGACCTTCCTGACAACAGATTTTGCATAAAAATACTTATAATCAACCCTATACTATGCAACAAACAACGAATAAATAAAAGCAAATAATGTATAAGTGAGATGCAGCCAAGAATGTAAATGATATGAATCTGATTTACTGCAAATCGCATAATCATATAACTTTATGAAGTGATATGTTGTGATTAAGATGATTCTTTTCTTTCCCAAAAATTTATTTTCATTTTATATATGCAATAATCGAGGAAGGAATACATATGAGCAATTTCATTTAACAATATCGATACTTATTTGCAAATATCTCGTGCATAGCACATATGGTCATATACAAATGAAATCAATGGATGAAGCAAATGTTGAGAAATGCGTTACAGGAATCAAAACAGTGAAGGAAATGACCTTAATATACATATAAGGTCAAAGATATCAACAATAACTTCTCAACAAAAAAAGGAATATATAACTAGAATTTGATCAATACAAAATATAAATAATCAACAGCAACAGAAATAGCAAAGCGCATTTCTTTTCTTTAAAGTGCGCAGGATTTAATGATTCCGCATGTGAAATTTCAAACTGGTTTTAGTCTGAAAATCTTTACTGCATACAGTACAGTGGTAAACAGGTCTATTCATGTCATGAGTTACCATGTGAGACTGCAAAGTGTATCTTCGAGTGTAACTTTTTCCGCATATCGGACAACTGTACGGCTTTTCACCGGTATGAATCATCATATGTTTTTTCATATCCCCGAACTGAGTGAAACTCTTTTTGCATATTGAACAACTGTACGGTTTCTCACCGGTATGAATCATCACATGTTTTTTAATATTACTGAACTGAGTAAAATTCTTTTTGCATATTGGACAACTGTACGGCATCTCACCGGTATGAGTCATGATGTGCCTTTTCATATTACTGGGATCAGTGAAACTTTTCCCGCATATTGGACAACTGTACGGCTTCTCACCAGTATGAGTCATCATATGTTTTTTCAGATTAATGGAGATAGTGAAATTCTTTTTGCATGTCGGACAACTGTACGGCTTCTCATCGGTATGAATCATCATATGTTTTTTCATATTACCGGGTTCAGTGAAACTTTTCCTGCATATCGGACAACTGTACGGCTTTTCACCGGTATGAATCATCATATGTCTTTTCATATCCACGAACTGAGTGAAATTCTTTTTGCATATTGAACAACTGTATGGCTTCTCACCGGTATGAGTCATCATATGTCCTTTCATATGTGTTACTTCCTTTTGACATATATTGCAATGCTGCTTCCTTCCGCCCTTCTTTCTTTCTTTGATAGTTCCATTACCTCCACTGTTTCCATTGTAACAAGCTGTTGCTGCGGTTTAATTCGTTCATTAGCCACTCCCTCCACTGATAAGCCTTGTGGCTTATTTCCTTCCTCTTTCACTTTTGAAGCCAATAAATCCAAAGGTTTTGTTTGAAGCAATTGCAGTCCAATTTCTTCTTCACCCATTCTTTCCATTGATAAGCCTTGTAATGCATTGCCTTTCTCTTTCACTTTTGATATTGATAAATCCAATGGTTCTGTTTGATCCGTTTGCGCTACCTCAAATGATATGAAATTATCAATCTGATACCGTGTAAAATTTTAAATCGCAGCGCTACATTGTATTTTTAAACTTTAAATGGACTTACGATGGTTTGAATATTGCTCAGTTGGAAGAAGAAAAAAAATAGATGAAATGCATGTCAATGAATAACTTCTTGCCAATTCTGAAAAATGCGAAAAGGAGAAATTTCTTCAAGTAAATGCTTTCTAAATATATTAGATTATTTACAAATTTATCATCGAATCCAAAATCCCTATCATAATTCAAAAGTTTGAAAAGTGGTAACTATCGAAATAAGTGAAACAGAACTTACTGAATGAAATTTGTAGGAGAGTTTGACAGGGCTACCTGTTATGATCTCCAACATGCTGTAAATTTATGAAATTGTGGACTTAGTTGCAACTAGAAAAGTCGTACGATGGTAACCTATGTCCACGTATAATAACACAGGTATAGTAATAACAATAGGATATAAAAAAATACGTACAGTGATATGATAATGGCAGTCACTATTTAATCCTATACACTAAATAATTCCATTTCAGTTGCTAAAGAGTTTGTTGAAAATTTATGCAAAGCAGTTGTGATATTTTTTGCACAATTTTATTCCATTCTGCTTCAATTTTTTTACATTTTCAATGATTTCAGCAAATATTTCTAATCTTTGGTTTGGACTTCATTTTCAAATTTGTTTTGTCAAATTTGCTATGTACATGTGTAAATTAAGCTTATTAAATTTTTTTGCTACATATGATGTGATGAAGGTAGCTGTCAAATGAGTACCAATTGATATTTCTAACACATATCTATAGTGATGATGACAGTGATAATGTGATAATGAATAATGTTTAGAGGAAGAAAATTAATGATGACTATTTGATCATATTTTTTTTTGATCATATTAATCTGTCATCTATTAATCTAATATGTGAAGATACCTCAAAGGAAACCAGATGTTGTAATTCATGGCGAAAATAAACAACTGATTGTTTATTGTTTATGAAATGATAAATTATAAATGATTCAACAAAGAATACAAAAAAGGTATTAACTAATGTTATTATAGATTTTTTCATTTTAGCAAAAGCTTTATTTCTTTTATGGCAGTATTATGTAGTGTAAATTGCAAAACATTTACACTATATTTGATATTCAATATCGGAAAGAGGATGAAAGACGAATCGTTAAAAGTAACTTGAAAACTAGGCTATGATAAAAAATACAATAACTATAACCCTTGTAAATAATGGAAACCATGACCTGATTTGAGCAAATCATGTGCAATGCAACAAAAATATGTTTGAACATATATTTCTTAAAGTGTGTTACAGTTTTCTAATATTGTTGGCATTTAATTAAAACATAATTTAGCAAAATTAAAATTCAGCAAAAAAAATAATACCTATGTAATAGATGACTGCCTATAAAAGTAACATTTTTTTCATAACAAATAGGTAGTAGGCATTTCTAAATTTCCACTCTAATTGAAATGACTGTCTCAATTGTTTGCGAATGTTTTATACATGTCATTGACCTATTATCATGTATTTATGTCATAATCAATTTGAAGTTGAAATTATTTAGCATTTATAACATTATCAATTATAAGAGATCAGCTAAAGTGCTTTGTTCATCAAATTTCATCCGATGATTACCATCTGAAATTTTGTATATTTTCCAGAAAATATTATTTTGTAAAATCATTATTTGAAATTCATTATCAATGAACTTCTTAGTTCTAGAAGTCTTGGAAAAATGAAGGAAACTAACAAGAATAATAAAATGAGACTCCCTTGCAATGATTTTCGTGTTATTTCTTCCAAACGCAAAAATCATTTCGTAATAAGCACATGTAAATCTAAGAATTATACTAGCTCTCAAAAAACAAAATTATATATATATATATTGTACGTTTTTTTTCATACGTTGACGTAAGCTATCAATACACGTAGTTTGCCACTCCCATCTGAATGAGAACTTATACATGCGATTATCTAACAATACCCAGCAGAATTGATCGGTTGGCTTCTGTCAGACTCTCCTACAGTTTTCATTCAGGATGTTCTGTTTCATTCATTTCGATAGCAGATGCTACCACTTTTCAAACTTTTGAGTTATGACAAGGATTTTGGAATTAGATGACAAATTTGTAAATAATCTAATATATTTAGAAAAGCATTTACTTGAAGAAATATCTCCTTTGCTCACTTGTCAAACAGCAGCGATATTATTCTTTAGAAGCAACCGTCAGTAAATTTAAATGTTTTTCAGAATTAACAACAAATTATTCTCATTGACATGCATTTCATCTATTTATTCTTCTTCGTCTTCCAATTAAGCAATATTCAAACAACCGTAAGTACTTAAATTTAAAAATACAGCATAGCGCTATAATATATATATCGGGATTTAAAATTTTACACAGTGTGACATTGATAATTTCATATCATTTGAGGTAGCGCAAACGGAACAAACAGAACCGTTGGATTTATCAATATCAAAAGTGAAAGAGAAAGGAGATGGGTCACATGGCTTATCAATGGAAGAAGCGAGTGGTGAACGAATTAAACCGGGGCGACAACTCGTTCCAATCGAAACACTGATGGAAGTAGTGGAACTATCAAAGCAAGAAGGAAGGACGACGAACAAGCATCGTTGTGACATATGTCGAAGGGAAGTAGCAAATATAAAAACACATATGAAGACTCATATTGGTGAAAAGACGCATAGCTGTCCACTATGCAAGAGAAATTTCACTCAGTTAGGGGATATGAAAAAACATATGACGACTCATACTGGTGAAAAGCTGTACAGTTGTTCGATATGCAAAAAGAATTTCAGTCGGTCCGACAGTATGAAAAAGCATATGATGACACATACCGGTAAAAAGCCGTACAGTTGTTCGATATGCAAAAAGAATTTCGGTGATCTCTGTAATATGAAAAGGCATAAGACGACTCATACTGGTGAAAAGCTGTACAGTTGTTCGATATGCAAAAAGAATTTCACTAGGTCCAACAGTATGAAAGCACATATGGTGATTCATGCCGGTGAAAAGCTGTACAGTTGTTCGATATGCAAAAAAAATTTCACTCAGTTCGACAATATGAAAGCACATATGGTGATTCTTACCGGTGAAAAGCCGTACAATTGTTTGATATGCGGAAAAAGTTACACACAAAAACACAGTTTGCAGACTCACATGGTAACTCATGACATAAATACACTTGTCTATCACTGTGCTGTATGTAAAGATTTTCAGGTTGCTAAATCCAGCTTGAAATAGCACATGAAGAATCATTAAAGCTTGCACGCTGTTGTTCATTACTTACTACTTTTTTTATTGATGATTTATTATTTGTTTTTTGATCCTATATGTATACTAATATCTTTTTCTTTTAAGTTATCCTTGCAATGTATTTTTCAGCATTAGCTTCATCCATTGATTTCATTTGCAAGTAACTTTGCATGCTATGCAAGAATTTGCAAATAAATATCGCTATTGTTCAATTACTAATGAAATGAAATTGCTCACATGTATTCCTCCCTCGATTATTGCATAAATAAAGTGGAAATATATTTTTGGAAAGAAAAGAATCATCTTAATCACAACATATCACTTCATAAAGTTATATGATTATATGGTTATATGATTCATCCCATTACATTTCCGTTTATTCCTTTTTCCTCATACTTAGCTTGGACCACTACCAAGTAGCTAACGGCTGGGTTGTTTCTTTTCAATACTTGTTTGTGATGAAATGCTATGACGATAGGAGTGTGTGTGTGTTTCATTATCGTGGGGTCGCAGGAGAGAAGTGAGATTGTCTTCCAATTTCAGGAGAACATTTCACACATTTAAATTTAATGTTTTTGTAAAAGCATTTTCAGAAGAATTTGAAGATAAAAAGTTGAAGCGGAAACCGAAGAAGGAAGAAGAGGAAGGTAAACAGGAAGAAGAGGAGAAAGCACAAAAGAAAACTATTATTTGTTATGAAAAAAATGTTACTTTTACAGGCAGTCCATCTATCACTTTGCTTGTTTGTAAACAATGAAGATACCATCTTCATGGCTTCAACAAATCTTTCTAATCTTTGGTTTGGACTTCATTTTCAAATTTGTTTTGTCAAATTTGCTATGTACGTGTGTAAATTAAGCTTATTAAAATATTTTGTAACATATAATGTGATGAAGATAGCTGTCAAATGAGTACCAATTGATATTTCTAACACTTATCAACCTTTCAAATTTAAACCATAATAAAAAGAAAATAAAAGCGGTGGTCTTTTTTTAAACAATAATAACAGGATAGTGATAATGAATAATGTTTAGAGGAAGAAATGAATGATGATTATTTGATCATAATTTAAATGAAATGTTTTCTTTTTAAACTTTCTTCCATCAATAAACTTTTTTGCCCATTCAGCATTTTTTGATTCATTCTTTATTTAAATGGTGGAAGAGATATAACAGAAGAAAGTGGAAGATAATTTGACTTATTTTCTTCATCTCTATTTAAAAAAAAAAAGAAACTGTTAGTGAACGGAATATCATACACTAATCATCTTGTTATTAAAAAGTTTTGGGTTTATTCTTATTAGTAGTTGATCCGGCTTTCGCTAATCTGTTATCTATTAATCTAATATGTGAAGATACATGGAAGAAAACTGAAGATACATGGAAGAAAAAATTCGTGGAGAAAATAAATAAATATTCCGTTTGAACCCCATTTTCTGTGTATATGTGTGTAAATAAAGCCTATTAAATTTTTATAGTTATCGTATATAACATATAATGTGATGAAGGTAGCTGTCAAATGAATACCAGTTGATAATTTCTAATACTGATCAATCTTTCAACCAAAATCCTAACCGTAATGAAACTAGAAAAGAAAAAAGAAAAAGATGGTGGTAAAGATCACTGACTGAGAGTGAGATTAGTAATGAGAAGCATTGGTTGCGTCCAATAATCATTTGCACAATATCTGGTTGGCATCACTTGAAATGCTGACCCTGAAGGTATCAGTCCGCCATCTATGGCTATATAATTACCAGAGTTGCCTAGCGGCTCTACACGATAAGCTCGGACTAGAACTATTTATAATTTTTCACCGTAAAACTTGAGAAGGACAATTTGTCTTTACAAAAATGGATAGTGACAAGATATAATTTATACATTTTAAACATGCGTTCTGGTAGTTTTCTTTAATGAATTTTAAGCAAATTCAAATAACCTGCAAAATCTTTTTTGAGTCGTTTATTTCAAGAGCCAATATGAGCAGTCATTTATTTCAAGCGTCATTTTGGCAAATTCAAACCGTGATCTAACATTGTTCCAATCGACATGTTAAGTATAAATCATCATCCAAACGAGCATATAGAAGGTGAGGCACATCAATTCCTGAACTAAGTATAAAACAGTGCTTTTAACGATTCGTCTTTCATCCTCTTTCCGATATTGAATATCGACATATAGTGTAAATGATATGTAATTCAATTAACTGAAATTCATCTGCATTATTTTGGCTAACAAATTGTCACAGTCAGTGAACAAACGATTTAGTAGGCTTTTTAAAATGATTTAATCTATCATCATTTAATAACTAATAAAAAGACAACTAATATAACAAAACCTATTCCAAGAAAAAACCTAAAAATACAAATGAACTTTCCATTTGGAAAACTTTTGATTTCGGAATTTGAAAATTGAAAATATTAAGGAAAAACTTACCCAAATGAAAAAGGTTTGTAAACGAAACAACTTTCGCACACATCCCAGTCAGATCCAACCGGTTTCAAAAGTGTAGGCATCCATGATTTCTTTATTTTTTAAGTTCTAAAGAATTAGTCACATTTATTTTAATCTGTTTAAAAGAAATTTTTTTTTTTTTTACATTTATAGTAAGCAAGCTGTTGCGTTTCCTTTTTGATCCATTTAGAGATCCGAGATAATTTTAAGGTAATAGAATAATTTTTGAAGCCTAATTTGAATAGTTCTTACCTTTCAACAAACTCTTTAACTTTGAATGATATTTCTCTCTGTGTAAATTATTTGCCACTTTGCATTTAACTGATTCCATCACTGCGTTTTAAGTAAAAAAAGATGACAAGGAATTATTTCCATCGTACGACTTTTCTAGTTGCAACTAAGTCCACAATTTCATAAATTTACAGCATGTTGGAGATCATAAGGGACCTTCCTGACAACAGATTTTGCATAAAAATACTTATAATCAACCCTATACTATGCAACAAACAACGAATAAATAAAAGCAAATAATGTATAAGTGAGATGCAGCCAAGAATGTAAATGATATGAATCTGATTTACTGCAAATCGCATAATCATATAACTTTATGAAGTGATATGTTGTGATTAAGATGATTCTTTTCTTTCCCAAAAATTTATTTTCATTTTATATATGCAATAATCGAGGAAGGAATACATATGAGCAATTTCATTTAACAATATCGATACTTATTTGCAAATATCTCGTGCATAGCACATATGGTCATATACAAATGAAATCAATGGATGAAGCAAATGTTGAGAAATGCGTTACAGGAATCAAAACAGTGAAGGAAATGACCTTAATATACATATAAGGTCAAAGATATCAACAATAACTTCTCAACAAAAAAAGGAATATATAACTAGAATTTGATCAATACAAAATATAAATAATCAACAGCAACAGAAATAGCAAAGCGCATTTCTTTTCTTTAAAGTGCGCAGGATTTAATGATTCCGCATGTGAAATTTCAAACTGGTTTTAGTCTGAAAATCTTTACTGCATACAGTACAGTGGTAAACAGGTCTATTCATGTCATGAGTTACCATGTGAGACTGCAAAGTGTATCTTCGAGTGTAACTTTTTCCGCATATCGGACAACTGTACGGCTTTTCACCGGTATGAATCATCATATGTTTTTTCATATCCCCGAACTGAGTGAAACTCTTTTTGCATATTGAACAACTGTACGGTTTCTCACCGGTATGAATCATCACATGTTTTTTAATATTACTGAACTGAGTAAAATTCTTTTTGCATATTGGACAACTGTACGGCATCTCACCGGTATGAGTCATGATGTGCCTTTTCATATTACTGGGATCAGTGAAACTTTTCCCGCATATTGGACAACTGTACGGCTTCTCACCAGTATGAGTCATCATATGTTTTTTCAGATTAATGGAGATAGTGAAATTCTTTTTGCATGTCGGACAACTGTACGGCTTCTCATCGGTATGAATCATCATATGTTTTTTCATATTACCGGGTTCAGTGAAACTTTTCCTGCATATCGGACAACTGTACGGCTTTTCACCGGTATGAATCATCATATGTCTTTTCATATCCACGAACTGAGTGAAATTCTTTTTGCATATTGAACAACTGTACGGCTTCTCACCGGTATGAGTCATCATATGTCCTTTCATATGTGTTACTTCCTTTTGACATATATTGCAATGCTGCTTCCTTCCCGCCCTTCTTTCTTTCTTTGATAGTTCCATTACCTCCACTGTTTCCATTGTAACAAGCTGTTGCTGCGGTTTAATTCGTTCATTAGCCACTCCCTCCACTGATAAGCCTTGTGGCTTATTTCCTTCCTCTTTCACTTTTGAAGCCAATAAATCCAAAGGTTTTGTTTGAAGCAATTGCAGTCCAATTTCTTCTTCACCCATTCTTTCCATTGATAAGCCTTGTAATGCATTGCCTTTCTCTTTCACTTTTGATATTGATAAATCCAATGGTTCTGTTTGATCCGTTTGCGCTACCTCAAATGATATGAAATTATCAATCTGATACCGTGTAAAATTTTAAATCGCAGCGCTACATTGTATTTTTAAACTTTAAATGGACTTACGATGGTTTGAATATTGCTCAGTTGGAAGAAGAAAAAAAAATAGATGAAATGCATGTCAATGAATAACTTCTTGCCAATTCTGAAAAATGCGAAAAGGAGAAATTTCTTCAAGTAAATGCTTTCTAAATATATTAGATTATTTACAAATTTATCATCGAATCCAAAATCCCTATCATAATTCAAAAGTTTGAAAAGTGGTAACTATCGAAATAAGTGAAACAGAACTTACTGAATGAAATTTGTAGGAGAGTTTGACAGGGCTACCTGGTTATTTCTGTTTAGGTGTTGTTGGAGAATTGTATGTATAAATGCTCATTCAGATGGGAGTGGCAAACTACGTGGATTGGTAACCTATGTCCACGTATAATAACACAGGTATAGTAATAACAATAGGATATAAAAAAATACGTACAGTGATATGATAATGGCAGTCACTATTTAATCCTATACACTAAATAATTCCATTTCAGTTGCTATATCGCATTGTTGCAAATAATTTATGCAAAGCAGTTGTGATATTTTTTGCACAATTTTATTCCATTCTGCTTCAATTTTTTTACATTTTCAATGATTTCAGCAAATATTTCTAATCTTTGGTTTGGACTTCATTTTCAAATTTGTTTTGTCAAATTTGCTATGTACATGTGTAAATTAAGCTTATTAAATTTTTTTGCTACATATGATGTGATGAAGGTAGCTGTCAAATGAGTACCAATTGATATTTCTAACACATATCTATAGTGATGATGACAGTGATAATGTGATAATGAATAATGTTTAGAGGAAGAAAATTAATGATGACTATTTGATCATATTTTTTTTTTTGATCATATTAATCTGTCATCTATTAATCTAATATGTGAAGATACCTCAAAGGAAACCAGATGTTGTAATTCATGGCGAAAATAAACAACTGATTGTTTATTGTTTATGAAATGATAAAATTGTAAATGATTCAACAAAGAATACAAAAAAGGTATTAACTAATGTTATTATAGATTTTTTCATTTTAGCAAAAGCTTTATTTCTTTTATGGCAGTATTATGTAGTGTAAATTGCAAAATAAAGTTAGTTAATAAACTTGAATTAAATGGAAAATAAAAAGAGATTATAAATCAAAAGTAACTTGAAAACTAGGCTATGATAAAAAATACAATAACTATAACCCTTGTAAATAATGGAAACCATGACCTGATTTGAGCAAATCATGTGCAATGCAACAAAAATATGTTTGAACATATATTTCTTAAAGTGTGTTACAGTTTTCTAATATTGTTGGCATTTAATTAAAACATAATTTAGCAAAATTAAAATTCAGCAAAAAAAATAATACCTATGTAATAGATGACTGCCTATAAAAGTAACATTTTTTTCATAACAAATAGGTAGTAGACCACTTCTAAATTTCCACTCTAATTGAAATGACTGTCTCAATTGTTTGCGAATGTTTTATACATGTCATTGACCTATTATCATGTATTTATGTCATAATCACTTTATTATTTGGTATCATTAAAGTTTCCTCATTGATATGTATGCCCATTTCTTAGAAAATAGCTAAAGTGCTTTGTTCATCAAATTTCATCCGATGATTACCATCTGAAATTTTGTATATTTTCCAGAAAATATTATTTTGTAAAATCATTATTTGAAATTCATTATCAATGAACTTCTTAGTTCTAGAAGTCTTGGAAAAATGAAGGAAACTAACAAGAATAATAAAAATGAGACTCCCTTGCAATGATTTTCGTGTTATTTCTTCCAAACGCAAAAATCATTTCGTAATAAGCACATGTAAATCTAAGAATTATACTAGCTCTCAAAAAACAAAATTATTTCCACCGTATGATTCTAGTTGCAATTTAAGTTCATAATTTCATAAATTTACAACATGTTGGAGATCATAAGGGAACTTCCTTATAGCAGATTTTGCATAAAAATACTATAAGCAACCTTATACTATGCAACAAACAACGAATATTAATGTATAAGTGAGATGCAGCCAAGAATGTAAATGATATGTTGTGATTAAGATGATTCTTTTCTTTCCCAAAAATTTATTTTCATTTTATATATGCAATAATCGAGAAAGGAATACATATGAGCAATTTCATTTTATTAGTAATTTAACAACATCGATACTTATTTGCAAATATCTCGTGCATAGCACACATGGCTAATTGCAAATGAAATCATTGGATGAAGCTAATGTTGAGAAATGCGTTACAGGAAACAAAACAGTGAAGGAAATGACCTTAATATGCATATAAGATAAAAGATACCGACAGCAACTTGTCAACAAAGAAAGGAATATGTAACTAGAATTTGATCAATCCAAAATATAAATAATCAACGACAACAGAAATAGCAAAGCATTTCTTTTTTTTAAGGTGCGCAAGGTTTAATGATTCCGCATGTGAAATTTCAAGCCATTTTTTGTCTGAAAATCTTTACTGCATACAGTACAGTGATAGACAGGTCTATTCACGTCATGAGTTCCCATGTGAGACAGCAAATGGTGTTTATGTGTGAAACTTTTCCTGCATATCGGGCAACTGTGCAGCTTTTCACCGGTATGAATCATCATATGTTTTTTCATATCCCCGAACTGAGTGAAATTCTTTTTGCATATTGAACAACTGTACGGCTTCTCACCGGTATGAGTCGTCATATGTGATTTCATATATATTACTTCCTTTCGACATATCTCACAACGCTGCTTTTTTCTCGTCCTTCTTTCTTGCTTTGATAGTTTCACTACTTCCATCAGTTTTTCGATTGGAACGAGCCGTAACAGAGGTTTTATTCGTTCATTACTTACTTCCTCCATTGATAAACTTTGTGACCTATTTCCTTCCTTTTTCGCTTTTGAAGCCGATAAATCCAAGGGCTTTGTTTGAAACACTTGCAATCCAATCTCTTCTTCATTCTCTCTTTCCATTGATAAGCCTTGTAAACCATCCCTCTTCTCTTTCGCTTTTGATATTGATAAATCCAACGGTTCAGTTTGATCCGTTTGCGCTACCTCAAATGATATAAAATTATCAATCTGATACCGTGTAAAATTTTAAATCGCAGCGCTATGTTGCATTTTTATACTTTAAATGGACTTACGGTGGTTTGAATATTGCTCAGTTGGAAGAAGAAAAAAAAATAGATGAAATGCATGTCAATGAATAATTTCTTGCCAATTCTGAAAAGTGCGAAAAGGAGAAGTTTTTTCAAGTAAATGCTTTTTTAAATATATTAGATTATTTACAAATTTATCATCGAATTCAAAATCCTTGTCATAACTCAAAAGTTTGAAAAGTAGTAACATCTTCTATCGAAATAAGTGAAACAGAACTTACTGCATGAAATTTGTAGAAAAGTTTGACAGAGGCTATCCGATTACTTCTGTTTAGGTATTGTTGGAGAATTGTATGTATAAATGCTCATTCAGATGGGAGTGGCAAACTACGTGGATTGATAACCTATGTCCACGTATAATAACACAGGTATAGTAATAACAATAGGATATAAAAAAATACGTACAGTGATATGATAATGGCAGTCACTATTTAATCCTATACACTAAATAATTCCATTTCAGTTGCTATATCGCATTGTTGCAAATAATTTATGCAAAGCAGTTGTGATATTTTTTGCACAATTTTTTTACATTTTCGATGATTTCAGTAAATCTTTCTAATCTTTGGTTTGGACTATATTTTCAAGTTTGCTATGTAAGTATGTAAATTAAGCTTATTAAAATATTTTGCAACATATAATGTGATGAAGGTAGCTGTCAAATGAGTATCAATTGATGATTTCTAACACTTATTAATCTTTCAAATTTCAACCATAATGAAACTAAAAAAAGAACGTGGTCATTTTGGTGTGAATTATCTTTATCTCTATGAAAAAAAAAAAAAGAAACTGTTGGTGAACGGAATATCATACACTAATTATCTTGTTATTAAAAAGTTTTGGGTTTGTTCTTATTAGTAGTTGATCTGGCTTTCGCTAATCTGTTATCTATTAATCTAATATGTGAAGATACATGGAAGAAAACTGCAGCCGATGTTGTAATTTATTGCTGGCATTTAATTAAAACATAATTTAGCAAAATTAAAATATAGAAAAAAAAAAAAAAAATAATACCTACATGATAGATGACTGCCCATATACAAATGAAATCAATGATGCACCTAATGTTGAGAAATACATTACAGGGATCAAAATAGTGAAGGAAATGACCTTAATTTGCATATAAGACCAAAGATACTAACAATAATTTGTCAATAAAAAAAGGAATATGTAACTAGAATTTGACCAATAGAAAATATAAATAATCAATAACAACAGAACTATCAAAGCGCATTTCTTTTCTTTAAAGTGCACAAGGTTTAATGATTCTGCATGTGAAATTTCAGGCTTCTTTTAGTCTTAAAATATTTACTGCATACAGTACAGTTGTAGATAGGTCTATTCATATCATGAGTTACCATGTGAGACTGCAAAATGTGTTTTTGTATAAAACTTTTCCTGCATATCGGACAACTGTACGGTTTTTCACCGGTATGAATCATCATATGTCTTTTCACATCCCCGAACTGAGTGAAATTCTTTTTGCATATTGGACAACTGTACGGCATCTCACCGGTATGAGTCATGATGTGCCTTTTCATATTACTGGGATCAGTGGAACTTTTCCCGCATATTGGACAACTGTACGGTTTTTCACCGGTATGAATCATCATATGTCTTTTCACATCCCCGAACTGAGTGAAATTCTTTTTGCATATTGAACAACTGTACGGCTTCTCACCGGTATGAATCATCATATGTTTTTTCACATCCCCGAACTGAGTGAAATTCTTTTTGCATATTGAACAACTGTACGGCTTTTCACCGGTATGAATCAACATGTGTTTATTCATATTACTGGAACTAGTGAAATTCTTTTTACATATTGAACAACTGTACGGCTTCTCACCGGTATGAGTCATCATATGTTCTTTCATATGTGTTACTTCCTTTTGACATATATTGCAATGCTGTTTCCTTTCCGCCCTTCTTTCTTTCTTTGATAGTTCCATTACTTCCACTACTGTTTCGATTGGAACAAGCTGCCGCCGCGGTTTAATTCGTTCATCATCCACTCCCTCCACCGATAAACCTTCTAACTTATTTCCTTCCTCTTTCACTTTTGAAGCCGATAAATCCAAGGGCTTTGTTTGAAACACTTGCAATCCAATCTCTTCTTCACCCATTCTTTCCATTGATAAGCCTTGTAATCCATCCCCCTTCTCTTTCCCTTTTGATATTGATAAATCCAACGGTTCTGTTTGATCCGTTTGCGCTACCTCAAAGTGAAAGCACATTTCTTTTCTTTAAAGTGCACAATGTTTAATGATTCTGCGTGTGATTCCACTTCTAAATTTCCACGTTTATTTGTCTCAAATGTCTCAAATGTTTGCGGATGTTTTTTTACTCGTCATCGACCTATTATCATGTATTTATCCCATAATCACTTTATCGTCTGGTATCACAAAAGTTCCCTCATTGACATGTATGCCCATTTCCTAGATGGTATCTTCAATCAATGAAGTAAAAAAAATTGTGCAAAAATTATTTTTTTTCTTTTCTTTTCATAGAGATAAAGAAAATTCCACCATTAAATAATGCATGAATCACGCAGAATAAAAAAAAGAAAAACTGACTTGCATAAATTATTTGCATCAATGCGATATAGCAATTGAAATGGAATTATTTAGTGTAAAGGATTAAATAGTGATTGCCATAATCATATCATTGTACGTATTATTTTATACTCTATTGTTATTACTATACCTGTGTTATTATACGTGGACATAGATTATCAATCCACGTAGTTTGCCACTCCCATCTGAATGAGCATTTATACATACAATTCTCCAACAATACCTAAACAGAAGTAATCGGATAGCCTCTGTCAAACTTTTCTACAAATTTCATGCAGTAAGTTCTGTTTCACTTATTTCGATAGAAGATGTTACTACTTTTCAAACTTTTGAGTTATGACAAGGATTTTGAATTCGATGATAAATTTCTAAATAATCTAATATATTTAAAAAAGCATTTACTTGAAAAAATTTCTCCTTTTCGCACTTTTCAGAATTGGCAAGAAATTATTCATTGACATGCATTTCATCTATTTTTTTTTCTTCTTCCAACTGAGCAATATTCAAACCACCGTAAGTCCATTTAAAGTATAAAAATGCAACATAGCGCTGCGATTTAAAATTTTACACGGTATCAGATTGATAATTTCATATCATTTGAGGTAGCGCAAACGGACCAAACAGAACCGTTGGATTTATCAATATCAAAAGGGAAAGAGAAGGGGGATGGATTACAAGGCTTATCAATGGAAAGAATGGGTGAAGAAGAGATTGGATTGCAAGTGTTTCAAACAAAGCCCTTGGATTTATCGGCTTCAAAAGTGAAAGAGGAAGGAAATAAGTTAGAAGGTTTATCGGTAGAGGGAGTGGATGATGAACGAATTAAACCGCGGCGGCAGCTTGTTCCAATCGAAACAGTAGTGGAAGTAATGGAACTATCAAAGAAAGAAAGAAGGGCGGAAAGGAAACAGCATTGCAATATATGTCAAAAGGAAGTAACACATATGAAAGAACATATGATGACTCATACCGGTGAGAAGCCGTACAGTTGTTCAATATGTAAAAAGAATTTCACTAGTTCCAGTAATATGAATAAACACATGTTGATTCATACCGGTGAAAAGCCGTACAGTTGTTCAATATGCAAAAAGAATTTCACTCAGTTCGGGGATGTGAAAAAACATATGATGATTCATACCGGTGAGAAGCCGTACAGTTGTTCAATATGCAAAAAGAATTTCACTCAGTTCGGGGATGTGAAAAGACATATGATGATTCATACCGGTGAAAAACCGTACAGTTGTCCGATATGCAGGAAAAGTTTTATACAAAAACACATTTTGCAGTCTCACATGGTAACTCATGATATGAATAGACCTATCTACAACTGTACTGTATGCAGTAAATATTTTAAGACTAAAAGAAGCCTGAAATTTCACATGCAGAATCATTAAACCTTGTGCACTTTAAAGAAAAGAAATGCGCTTTGATAGTTCTGTTGTTATTGATTATTTATATTTTCTATTGGTCAAATTCTAGTTACATATTCCTTTTTTTATTGACAAATTATTGTTAGTATCTTTGGTCTTATATGCAAATTAAGGTCATTTCCTTCACTATTTTGATCCCTGTAATGTATTTCTCAACATTAGGTGCATCATTGATTTCATTTGTATATGGGCAGTCATCTATCATGTAGGTATTATTTTTTTTTTTTTTTTCTATATTTTAATTTTGCTAAATTATGTTTTAATTAAATGCCAGCAATAAATTACAACATCGGCTGCAGTTTTCTTCCATGTATCTTCACATATTAGATTAATAGATAACAGATTAGCGAAAGCCAGATCAACTACTAATAAGAACAAACCCAAAACTTTTTAATAACAAGATAATTAGTGTATGATATTCCGTTCACCAACAGTTTCTTTTTTTTTTTTTCATAGAGATAAAGATAATTCACACCAAAATGACCACGTTCTTTTTTTAGTTTCATTATGGTTGAAATTTGAAAGATTAATAAGTGTTAGAAATCATCAATTGATACTCATTTGACAGCTACCTTCATCACATTATATGTTGCAAAATATTTTAATAAGCTTAATTTACATACTTACATAGCAAACTTGAAAATATAGTCCAAACCAAAGATTAGAAAGATTTACTGAAATCATCGAAAATGTAAAAAAATTGTGCAAAAAATATCACAACTGCTTTGCATAAATTATTTGCAACAATGCGATATAGCAACTGAAATGGAATTATTTAGTGTATAGGATTAAATAGTGACTGCCATTATCATATCACTGTACGTATTTTTTTATATCCTATTGTTATTACTATACCTGTGTTATTATACGTGGACATAGGTTATCAATCCACGTAGTTTGCCACTCCCATCTGAATGAGCATTTATACATACAATTCTCCAACAATACCTAAACAGAAGTAATCGGATAGCCTCTGTCAAACTTTTCTACAAATTTCATGCAGTAAGTTCTGTTTCACTTATTTCGATAGAAGATGTTACTACTTTTCAAACTTTTGAGTTATGACAAGGATTTTGAATTCGATGATAAATTTGTAAATAATCTAATATATTTAAAAAAGCATTTACTTGAAAAAACTTCTCCTTTTCGCACTTTTCAGAATTGCCTATATGTATACTAATATCTTTTTCTTTTAAGTTATCCTTGCAATGTATTTTTCAGCATTAGCTTCATCCATTGATTTCATTTGCAAGTAACTTTGCATGCTATGCAAGAATTTGCAAATAAATATCGATATTGTTCAATTACTAATGAAATGAAATTGCTCATATGTATTCCTCCCTCGATTATTGCATAAATAAAATGGAAATAAATTTTTGGAAAGAAAAGAATCATCTTAATCACAACATATCACTTCATAAAGTTATATGATTATGCGATTTGCAGTAAATACATCAGATTCATATCATTTACATTCTTGGCTACATCTCACTTATACATTATTTACTTTTATTTATTCGTTGTTTGTTGCATAGTATAAGGTTGATTATATAGTTTTTTTTATGCAAAATTTGCTATCAGGAAGATCTCTTATGATTTCCAATATGCTGCAAATTTATGAAATTATGAACTTAATTGCAACTAGAATCATACGGTGGAAATAATTTTGTTTTTTGAGACACTACTAATATTCTTGCGGAATATTCTTTTTCTCTTTTTTACTTAAAACTTGCAGATTAGCATACTTTGTGATGGAGTTAGTTGAATTACACAGAGAGAAATATCATTCAATGTGAACAGGTTTGTTGGAAGGTAAGAACTGTTCAAATCGAACTATAGAAATTATTCCATTACCTCAAAATTATCTCGGATCTCTAAATGAACCAAAAAGGAAAGGCAATAGCTCAGTATTGATATAGATAATTTGCTTATTACCCGGCAACAATAATGCCATGAATGATGATGGTAAACGTTGGAAATGTCATCGCTTGAAGTGTATAATTGTTAGGAAATTGATCGCTATGGGCATCTTTTGATAACTAAATTTTCATTTACTAGTATGCTTGTTGTGTGCAATGGTCAAGTGGTCCATCTGCTTTTGACTTACGTGTGTTGCGTCTTTCACGAATGTCAGGCGTGTCTCGCTCGCTAAACCAGGCATAACATTGAACTGAGGAATTTGTTACACTTTTTGATGTGTAGAGAGGTAGTCATACAGTGATTGGGTTTTGCATATAGGTTATCTTGATGACGGTTTGTTGCAAATTGAAGGTAACTGATTTTTGCAAATATTTGGTCCGTCTGGTTGCAGTGGTTCTTTAATTTACTAATTTTTATAATTTCTCTACTGCAGTTTGATTTGGACCTCTCTCCACAGATCTCTGTTGAAGTTGAAGACGAATTAATGTATCGTAATAAAATGGTTTTCAGGTAGTTTATTTTACTACCCAAAAACCAACTGGAATTGTTCATTTGCTGTGAAGAATATGTCATGAAGGGGAATGTTGCCTGACAAAATTCTATAATTAATCTCTGGTTCACTATTTACCGAACATTCATTACTTAGTTTTAATTGGCTTAGCAGCGGATGGTCATATTAGAACAATCGATAGGTTATATAATCCAGTAGAATGTGTAAAGTACATTATAACTCATTATTTAAACTCTGCAAAATATGTAAAGATTAGGATATCTTTTGTATATTTTACATCTGGTAGGGTCATTGGATGTGAAAAAAAATTCAATTCAGTTCATGAACTCATTGCTTGTGCTGCGTTTTACCACAGTTAAACAGCTGGGACATTTAAAGAAACGGTTGGTTCTGCAGGGGATTGTGATGTGTGTTGCTGTAGTTTTCAATCATTCAGAAATATGGTCGATGAATGAAACTATGTCTCTTAGTATATGTTTTACTGCGTGAAAGCAATCAGGCTTTTATTCTGATCATTATTCTTTCTCCTTCATACCAGAAAAACAGTTAATATCGAAGTAAGAATTGAATTTAGATTAGAGCTTAATTCAGTTCTATAAGATTCTGTAGGCGTTTTTCACTTCTGTCATTTACTTTCGCTCAGAAAATTGTCATTCGCGGATGTGCTTTTGGCAGATTTAGAAGATGAATAAGTGATGAAGGAGATGAAACAGCATGGACGGGAGGGCTTAGAAGAAGTAGGTGAACAGTTACCATATATGATTCTGTTACAGATTTAGAAATTAAAACTCTCTTTAAATATTTAATTTTTTTAAATATATATTTAAATATTTGAGTGAATGGAGATTGAGGTTTTTGACTTCTCTTGTTAGTTGTACAGAAGGCTGTATTTCTGTTCTCGTGCATACTTCATTATTTGTGGTTGCAACTAAATTTTAAAAGTAATTCTACCAGTTAGAGTCATTTGAAGCGGATCACCAATATAATTTGATCGTGGAACTATGGGGTATGCAATGATGCTAAAAAAGTTTTTCATAGTAACTCTGTTACATGTGTAACAGCTTTATTCTTTTGTTTTGTCGATTATTATTATTATTATTATATTTATATTTATTATGTTTACATTATTATTTATTATATTCACCACAATAATAACAAGAAATTATACCAACATACACTAAATATTCGTTGAGATACTGGATATTCTCAAATTAATACTAAATAAGAATTGGCATGTCGAACGTATCGAATTGGATCTGTTCTCATCTGATCCATTTCTTTTAAATCCTTTGAAGTGAAACTTTTTCTTCGTTAAGATTGGAGTGAATATTTGATAAAATGCAGTTATAAAATCATTTCGAGTTTTCCCTTTTTGACTATAATTCCAGAACGAAAACTGGAGTATGATGTTTTGAGTTTGCTGTTTTTAGAGATGTTGGAATTGTTTGTTTTTATTGCTCAGTATATTTTGCATTTTTAATGACTTGTTTAATTAAAAAAGTGTTTATATATTAGAAAAGTAATGTTATTTCAGTTTTTTTTATTGATTGCGAAAGTGCATTCTTCGTTTTGCAACCTTTTGTATTTCATATTGCACATTAAAAGAGCCAGTATTCGCTGACTGTGTAAACCGATGAGTCATCTTCTAAAGAGACGATTGGAATAGAGACAAACTGTTTCAGATTCAAGTTTTATCCAAAGAACAGATCCAGAACAGACGCTATTGATCTGGGGATAATTTAAATATTCTCTTCTCTGATTTATAGTTGTTAGAGATTGTGTATGAACTATATTTGGTAGTAATGGAGACAATTACCTGGTCATCTCAAAGTGAAGCCGATGAAGAAATTGATGAAGGTATGCCTCGCTATAGGAGAACACTGTGATTCCTGAGAAAGTTGTGTGGTAGCTTCAGGTTTTCTGAGCGGTTTTTTATTGCTTACGTAGTAAGATCTTTTCAGAAGATGAAAGCAACATTTATATCCATGGTATACCAATTCCTTCACAAATTCTTGCAGAAGTGTTGGTCAGAGTTGATAATCGTCGTGATGTTGGTTATATATGTCCTTTGGTAGGTTGTTTTCGTTATTTCATCAATTTTGGTGGTTAACCCATCTATTTAAATTGTTAGAAAAAAATTTTATATCTTCACTAATAATATGTATTGGTTACGCCACTATATTAAATTTGTACTCTTTTAATACTCTTTATTTCTATTTCTTTACAACCAAGTAGAATTTTTAAAAACCATAAGGAAGGCAATGCATTCAAACATACTGGAAATCCGGAAAACGCAACTGCTTGGTTGAGTAAATTTAAATGTGATGTATTTGCCGTAGTATTTGAAATTGTCATATTCACATATTATTGTTTCACTTTACTTCTAAATGTGTTCCACTTTATTTCTAAAATTGATGAGTATTCTTTTTTTTTTAAAGCTATTGCAGATTTGTCGTCGATGGTACAGTGTTTTATCTGCTCCCGGTTTCTGGATCAGTTATATGATATACCGATCAATGGATTTGCCTCCCAACTCGTTACGAAATGAACCTTCACTCAATGTCAAAAAAGTTTCTCTTATGCAAGCTTTCGGCCGCAATTTGATTAGCAATCCTAGTGGTGACGATCGATATGAAAGTTGGGAAATGGGTGAAAACGGCGGTGATGGGTTAAGTTTCAGGATATTGTTTTGAACATTTCTGATGGAAGAGAAACAAAAACCATGTCGTCCGCAGATATTTATATTTGATCCTAATCCTCGAATCTTATTTGGATGTGATTCAGATGATGCAGGAGAGCTGAGGAAAACGAGAGTTAGAACCAGCATACGAATGTAATGATCTCAACCGTATTGAAATCACAATTTAAATTTAGATTCGGAATCGAGAAACCACCAGTAGGTTGTGTACCAGTGGAAAATATACCGGTTGCATTTGTGACAAGCTATGATTGGTGCAGTAAATTTCAAATCATTGATTTGTGGAAAGAGGGAATTGAAGTAATTATTTTCTTTTGTCATTTGTTTATTCTTTAAGCTACATATAGTTTAAATCAGTTATTGGTGATATTTAGAATGTCTTTTTCCTTACTGCACTGAAGCAATTCAGTTCTTACTATCAACTTTACTGTTGGTCAAAATTGTGGACTTCAAATAAATGTAGTAAAAACAGCTTTCCCTAGCACATCCTGACAAGGATCTCATTTAGCGTTCTTTTTTGGATGAATTTTGTCCACCAATCACCGTTTCGGAGTACCATACAGGTCGCTTCAATTGCCCATCGATTTATTTGTTAGAAGTGCAACTGCTTCCCGATGGAATTATGCCTTTGCCATACAGACCAATGCCAGGATTTCTTGTGTATGCTCGGTACCCTCGCCTCTCTCAACAGTATGATACACCAGAACATGAATGGATACATCGTGATGTACCACAGCGTGATGAAACAACCGATACTTCAATAACCCGAATTCGCATGTTGAAAGGTAAATTTTTACGTTAATTTCATTTTTTCTACTTTATCAAAAACAGAATAAAGCAGTTCGCTGATAATATATCAACGAACGTGCAGTGTCGTTAATTCCTTTAATTGATAATATTTTTTTTCTGGGTTTTAGAGGTTGAATGGCGAAAGATCGAACATACATTTTCGAATTATCCTAGAGGCATTCGTTACGTATTATTTCGACATAGTGGAAAAGATCAGCAGGGATATTGGGATGAATGTTATGGTTCAAAAATGGCTAAAGCTTCGGTTATTGTAAATTACGGTAATGGAGAACGAAGATGTATACCCTGATGAACGCAATTTCGATGATTTGATAAAAGTTCGATTTAAATTCAATAAGAATTTGAACTATGCTGTACTTATGTGACTTGCTTCTAATATCGAACACAATATCAACGCATGATGTTTTCTTTATTTTACTAACTTTTTTATACCACTGGTTCATCTCAATTACTTTTTGAGTTCCTTATAACGAGACGTCAACGGAATATCTAAATTTACGCCATTTTTTTTTTAATGAGTTATACTTGGTAGTTAATTGGCTTCTTTAACAAAAATATTGCAATGATTTTAGACCTAATGATCCGTTGTCTTAGTTACTTTGTATGTTCTTTTTTCCCCTCTTCCCTTGTTTCTTTTCAATTCCATAATTTTTTCCAATCTTTTCTAATTTTCCTTTTCCAGAAAGTAAGCTCCCTAAAATGATCTGTTTTTGGTATTATGCTTCTTTTTCTGGCTTGCTGAAAGTAACAAATTTTTTTTTGTTTGTAACTCTGTAGTTCAGTGAAAATTCTGGCTAGTCTCTGTCTGAAGAAACAAACGTCGATACTAAATTATGATTAGATATGTTTTTATTCTTACCTCTCTTATTAGTGTTGATTGAGAGAATCTCTAGCAGTATTCTAATACAATTATGCGCGGTATATTTTTTATATTCTTAACCTTTTTTTTATAATAAATAGGTTTTTTAACGGATTACGAAGCGACATTTGGTATTTTAAAGAAAATTGCACTCTTTATTTCATTTTTGTTGTATATATTAATTATTATTCTTCAATTTACATGCTGTGGAACGTCTTTTTAATCGGAAACAATTCCTGATAATGTTGTATTTTGCTTGCTGCTGGTCATCAAGCATTTCTATTAATTTCTAACTGACTTGATATGTTTTTGTTAATGTCTAGGCTTTAATTTGAGATAGTCTTGTTGATAATGGTTATTTGTTGGAATGGATCAGGGGTAAACTTTCGAAAAAAGGCCTTTTCCGAAGCTTTCATTAATTGTCAAAATGGAAATAACACAAAATGTTTTCAGTGATGTGATGAGATTGAATAAATCTAGGTTAATTGGGAAGTAATGAAGTACTGTTGATTGATAGCTATAATTCGTTGTTACCTTAGAAGGACATTGATTTTCACTAACATGAATTACATTCTTAATTCACTTATTCTGATTTTGTATTGTTGTTTATAGTTTAAAATACTGAATATAGTAATAAATTATCTTTTGCTCCCTTTTAAAGGAAATCTGTGCACAAAAATTACTCTTTTTCTGAACACTTAATATCCGTTCCCTATTTCTTAGGTTCACTTCCTGTCAGATTTAATTACTTTATTACTTTGAAAAAAAAACTAAATTTCTATATTGTGTGTTGAAAAATTAAATTTCCATGTCAAGAATACAGTAAGGATTTATTAACATAACTGATTCTTTCGGATTGTTTTTAGTTTCCAATTGTATTTGTATTTGTTTTTTTAGTTATAATTTTAAAAGAACATCAAATTTAGAGATTTTACCATGTTAATAAATTACCAAAAGTTGTGTAACTGATTCTTTTGGGTTGTATTTAATTTCTAATCATGTTTATCAGCAATATTTTCTATTAATAAAAACAGTACATTGGACCAATCTCTCTACACTATGATGCATATCAAACACGGAAAAGATAATTCATTAATTCACAATTTTTTTTTTTTTATAATGATTAACCATGACACTCAAATTTAAATTTGGTCAGTGTTTGAGTTTCAAACAAAATCTTGGACCTGGCTTTAATAGCTCGCTTATAGTTGGACTCTTTGATATTATTGCTGAATTTTCAATTTGATAAAGGCTTAACCTTGGATTATTTTCTCTTTTTTAAGTGCTTTCAAAAAAAAAAAATATATATATATATATAAATTAATTGCTTCCATTATCTGTAACTTACTTGTATACTTGTAGTACGTTATATAAGGAAGTATCAGGTACAACTAAATCCTTAAAAATCTTATATTGAAGTCATTTTATAGATTCCATAAAAGCACTTTACTTTTCTAGGAAAGTTTAACGGTTATCAGAAGGTGACTATATGGTAGATTAAATATGATAAATGTTTTGGAGAATCTCGAAAAGGCGAGACAGGATCAGCTGACTATATAAAAACTGTTGAGCAAATTTTATTTTTAGGATGTTTAGAAAGAATCGCTTGATTATATCCATCAGAAATGTATTGAAAGTGACAGAGCGCATCTTCAGAGACTCATTTTTGAAATTCAAGGAGAAATTATGAGTGCTTATTGCTAAAATGTGTGCTGGATAGGTATATTTATGGTTTAGAAATTAATTTAAAGGGATTTCAAGATAACAAAATAAATGCTTGAAAATGCTTTATCCAATTCAATTGCTTCATATTTTGCAGTTGTACAGAACAGAATACTCATTAGAAGCTATGATTACGAAGAAAATATTCTCGGAATTTCTAAACAAGTTGAAAAGACTCTCCCATCTGATGTTAAATACATAAATATCGATAGCTTCATGCGTAGATAAGAATATTCGCCAGAAGTGTACTTGTTTACTTTTTTTTTTCTGGCAAAAATTATTGCATTAATTGTTGCAATTTGTTTTTTAAATTTCTACATATACAAATTTTATTTGTCATAATTTCTAAGAGTCATAGAGACAGAAGTAGATTTGAATTTACTTATAAATGATTGTTTGGTTATATGAGATATTATCTGAGATGGCTGTAACCCTTATGGACGATTGAATTGAAATTTCATTTTATAATGTTTAAGTAATATTTGTGATCAATTTAATCACTTGAAGAATTTCTCACGGAAAAAAAATGGATGACAAAAAATGAAAAAGAACCAACTGTTTACTTAAAATCAGGATGAGTCAATGAATAAACAATTTTGGATATTTCTTAATTGTTGTATGGCTCAAATAGAACGAAAATAACATACCTTCAGGTAAAAGCAAATAAAACCAGGAGGAGTTACCAACTGAAAACCGGAAATATAAGAAAGAGTGAAATTGTATGTTTATAAGCTAAAAGATACGATTATATAAATCTATTTATGCTAACTTTCTTAAAGTAACCTAACAACAGCTGTTAATAACCTCCGATTTTTAATCCTTTTTTTTTCTTCCTTTTCCCACTTTTTTGCCGCTTATCTTTTTAATTTTTTGTTAAAATGTAGAAGAGATCAGATGAAATACTTTTTGAATTCTTTTCTTCTATAGCATTGTAAATTCTCATCTCTTTTAAAATGAGAAAAGCAGCTAGAAATTTTTATTTTCACCTTTTCATTGTTAATAGTTCGAAACTTTTAAAAGTATCTAATGAAATGATGCATAAAAAGAGTTTTATTTTGTATTTACTGCAATAATTATTTTAGCAATATTTCTCTTTCAGAATGCAATTCTTACCATCACTTCTTCCGTTATTATTGACAGGTATAATAACAGGTGTATCAAAGTCATTACAATTCTATAAGAAAAGGTGTTACAAGCTGTCTTATCTTTAAAATATATGGTCAATGATAATATATACACAAATATATTTAGTTTAAAAATATATTTAAATATTTAGAAGCTAATTACACTGTAACTTATTCAGATTATGTTCCAATTGCATATCAAAAAAATAGTTTTCATTAATTAATTGATCATATCTTTATCAGTAACTTCACCCTTTTTGACATAAATTTTTACAATTTTAAATTGACCAATAATATTATGAAAGTATAATTTTGGTATTGTTGAGGAGCAAGTTTTGTGCTGGGACAGTGTCCAGCAGGTGGTACAGCGATGCTAAACGGTTATCGGTGTACATCGAGCACACAGTGCCAGAATATCTCTCCGGAATACTACTGTTACCAGGGAGTTTGCTGTTTGGATAGCTTAGGTATTCTTCCTGAAACTCTTCTCTCTACAAATCCAATAACCATGCATCTCACAAACTATGCAAATTGTCGCTCTTCTACAAATTTCCACTACAGCAAACTCAGTGTCATACGGTGGATACTGTACGATGACCGCACAATGCAGTACATTTGGCGCAATGTGCATTTCACATGTATGCCAGTGCGCAAATGGTTCGCAGTACAACGGTCGTGCGTGTATCGCAAGTAGGGTTCTTCAATTTACTAGATTTTCTAGAATTCTAGATTTATTAGATTAAATGAATATTAAATGCTAGGTGGAATTTAAACTTTATACCATAAGTCTTGTGATCTTCATTGGTTACTTTAGAGAGTAACCAATGAAGATAATCGAGAAATAGAGAGATATATCGTACATCTACCTGTGTGATATATAGTATACCTTGTTTCTAACGTCATCTTCACGTAACATTTCTATAGCTCCAATTCTTTGTCCTTCAAATCAAATTTCGATAAATGGGCAGTGCTACCGGAGAGTAACCTATGGTTTTCTATGTAATTACACTCAACAATGTGCTTATATTGGCGCTTTTTGCACTGATGGAATTTGCCGTTGTCAATTTGGTTTTACTTTTGATGGAAGCAAATGTATTCCACGTTCTAAGAGTTAGCTATTGGAATTGTTAAATTATTTTATTAATAAATAAAATTGGATTAATATATCTACTTGATGATTTCGGCATATATTATAATTGGTCTGAAATTGATCAACCTTTTTTGATAAGTTTTTGTTCACATCCTTGTAAATAAATGCTAGTTTCTTTGTTGTTTATGGACTTTTAGTCTGTCCTGGAAATCAGATAGCCATTAGTGGACAGTGTTATCCATTTGCTCGCTTGGGTGAAGCATGTATGTATAGTGAGCAATGTATCGATAAGTGGTATCGGTCACTTTTGTGTGTTAATGGTCAGTGTGTGATCCAAATGAATGATGACACTTCGAGAGGTAAGCTTAACTACTTGTTACTTATTTTTTGTTCTTTTTCATATTAATCCTAATTTTTTAAGCAAATTTTATTTCAAAGAAGAAAGAAGGAAAAAATAAAGTGAAATAATATTGATGACAATTGGTGACATCCAAAAGGTATGATCATCCGTGATCTCTCCTCTCTTTTTTTTCTTCTTTTACCTCTATCACTATTGATTTTTGATTGTGAATTTTTTGCAAAAAAATTTAGCGACATGCCGTGATCGACGTGCTGAAGTGGAATACGTGAATGGTAGTGTGAAGAACTGTTTATATTGGCCCTGTACGGTTGGTTATTTTTGCGAATACAGTGAATCCCAGAATGGTGGTCAGTACATCTGCTGTGGTACCAATGCTAATAATATTTATGGTTTGCTTTATGAGATTTTGTTAACGAGTCCAATGAGACTAATTTAATTGCTACCTTAAATTCATTTCTGATTTACTATTGCATTCTGCAAAATGATATCGTTCCATGCTGCATGATGCAGTGACTCAATAATTTTAGTTCGTTATTTATATTTTCATTTCTGAAATATTTACAAAGCATTAAATAGTTTTAGAAAAAAAGAAATCATTGGTGACAAAATTATCAGATACCAATATATTTGGAGGTTTATTTCACATCAACGATCAATATTTTTAAATTTTCAGGTAAGGTGAAAGTGTATCCGGGCACTAACAAGCCATTAAATTGTTCTACAACTAACGGTTGTATATTTCCGGATACACCTAATTGTGTTATGTCGCATCGATATGGTTACAAAGTTTGCTGCTCAACTATGAACTGCTAATGAAGTATATAATTTTGACAGAAAAATAATACTTCAATTGATTATTGTATATTTCTATGAAAATTATAGCAAATTTTAAAGTATCGGAAATAATACTTTTTGTTGATATGTGATAATATTGATAACTGTTATCGATTGTAATGAAATATGTAAAGACCGTAAATAAATGAGCTAAAAAATGATCAAATAAACATATTCAACAGCTAGCAAAAAATGATTGCTTTTTTTCTGATTTTGAGTTTAAAATGATTTTTTTTTTCCTTCATTCTGTCATTGTATGATTAAATTGTTTGATTTAAAATTGCCATTATTAAAGTTTTATTTTTTTTCTTCGTATTTTCAAATGCCAGCAAAGATTTCTTGTATATCAAAATGTCAATAGACCAATAAACTGTGATTTCATTGTGTTTGATTAGCTTATCAGTGATTTGGCTTGTATTGAAGCATATAATATCATCATATCATTGTTAATTAGATGGTATTGAAAATGGGCTAAAAAACATGACAAAAATTAATAACAAGTATTTCAATAATTTTTTAGTGATATAAAAAATTTACTGCTTAAGTGTCCTTTTTTGATACACAAGTAGCTTTTGTATGAACTTTTGACTGATTTTGTTTAAATCATTAATATGAGAGAAATTTGATAACATTAATTTTAGAAAGATTGACTTACTGATCTGCACTTTGATTTGAAATTTTTTATAAATATATTTGCTTTAATTAGTAAAAAGATGTCATTTGTAAGATATAAGTTGTTTTGAATGGATACTAAGTAAATTTTTCAGGAAAAATAAGATCAAAGTGATCCGATAATTTTGATCAATAATTTTTTTCAAACATTTCTCATTGAGATTTGTTACTTCCAAGTTTCTATTTGTTAAATTTGTAATATCAAAAAACTTACTAATAATTGTAAGGAAATTTTTTGCATTAATAAAGTTTTAACACATTAATGAAATTTCACGATATTACTTCGAGAGTAAAATAAGAGGTCAGAATCAGACAAGAATTAAATAACTGAAATTGTCATTCGTTAAATATCCCACATATTTCAGTTAAAATATTTCACAAAGGGAAATGTATGTTAAAGAAAATATTTGTAAACAAATGATTTTAGTGTTTAAAAAAACTCATTGCTTGAAGAATATTTCATTTTGTGCAATTAAAAACAATGAATTTTACAATGTTTTTATAAAGCACAAATAGTTACATGCACAATTATGCATGCAGCTGTACTTTATAATACAAATTAATTAATTGTGGAAGTAATGTTTTGAAAAGAAAGTTTAAATTTGTAATATCAAAAATAAATTTAAAGGAGTTTAGTAATGGAATTAAGTAATGGCCGTTAGTCTCAATTGTATACTTTTAATTACTTTTAATATTTTCACTTTAAAGCACTATCCAAAATTTTTAAAGAATAAAAAAAATTTTTTGGTCCCCTTTTACACAAATACCTCTTTCTATGGCAGTCGCTAACTTCATTATTTTAAAAATTGTTAATAAATTCTTGACACATAATAGTTTTGCTTGTTTGGAAAATGAAATTGTTCATATTATTTCACCTCTGAGTGCCGAATAAAATTAATTGAATTTAGTAAAGTGATGATCGGATGAAGTAATCTGCTAGAAAAACAATTCCATATACTGGAATTCATCAACAAGTTTTTTCGATTTTATGCTAACAGAGAGAAGAAGAGAGTAATCAAAATTATAAAGTAATATTAACTTAGCTGAGTTATACAAACATTTGATTTTTCAAACTTTCAAATGGTGAGACTACTAGATCTACCATACTGATCAAAAAAAAAAAAAGGGAAATTGATTTTTTTTTTGTAAGGAAATTTGCATTTCGAAAAAGAAATTTCTAAAAAAAGTAAAGAAATTTCTATTCTTCTAAAAGAGAAAAAAAAAATGATATGATAAGAATAAAGGATTTGGAAGCCAAAAGATTCTTTATCAATATGCTTTCTTGAAATTTTTTCAAAACTTAGGACAAATGAAGAAATGAAGAATTTTCGTTTCCGGAATACCTTGTTAATGATAATTTAAATATGGTGGCTATTCAGTAGGAATACAAAATTAAATTTTTGAAGTCAATTCCTGAAATAAAATTTTAATTACTAACTAATAGATTGAAAATAATTCACTGAAATTGAAAAATATGAAATTAAATCTATTATTCTAAATTATTAAATATTAAAATCTGGGTTTGGATACATTAACAGATACATTGCCTACACTAATATTTTGTGGCACTTATTTAGAAACGATTTCTTCATTACCAAAACTGATATTTTATTATTATTATTATTATTATTATTATTATTATTATTATTATTATTATTATTATTATTATTATTATTATTATTATTATTATTATCGAAACTGCAATGCCATTTTGTTATTTTCACTGTCAAAAATCAAAAAATCAAAATACAAAATATTTGATTATAAATCAAATCAAATAAATTAATCATAAATTTTCTAGCTGTAAAGTAACATTGTGTCAGATTACTGCAAAATACTTTCAGAGAGAATTCTCAAAAATTTCATATTCAAGGAAAATCAAAGAATAAATGAAGCACATTAGCTTATTTTTTTAATATGATACCAGACGACACGTTGAATGTCGGATTTAATCCTTCTGTTCCATCTGTGACGTATTTTCGACATTTTCCTATTCTATTCTTATTGTTCTATATTTCTAGTTTAATCGCCAATGAAATTATCACCTTAAAGGTGACAATTTCATTGTGTCATTAGCATGTGTCATCCAAATATTGTTGCCTTCTTAGGACATTCACAAATTTTTCCTATTCATACCTTCCTTCTTTTTTTTTTTTTTTTTTTTAAAGAAAAAGAAGGAAATGAAATTTAGTAATTCCATGAAATTTCTGAATAATTAGGTAACAATAATATTCATTTAACCTTGACATTTCTCTTCACATATATATATATCACTGCAAAATTTCTTCCTTTTATTTCATTCATCTTCGAGAATTTCAATATTGACAACAACTTTTTCGTTTTTTTTTTCAAACTTTCTTTTGTTTTAATAACAAATTAAAACACAATAATAATTTTATGCAATCTATAAGTTAATCTATGAAATAAGTGTTAATAAACAATTAGTTTGAAAACTAACAATAATCGATCTGCAGAAAAAGCAATCATTAATTTGCGACATTCATGTTAATTAACTATAACTTGTCACCTGTGACAAATAAGGGTAAAAAAGAAAATCAATCACTAATTGGAAATATTTAATACGAACTATTAATAAATCAATTAATGAATCACCACTTCTTATTCAACGTAAATTTGGAGATAAAACATAAATGAAGTAAAAAATACGATTGAATTGGTTTCACTTACTTTCTCTAAAATTTTAGTTAATATTTTTATCGATGAAATTTTCTTATTTCATTGGGTTGAAATTTTGCATTTACTTTTGGCAATACTGATATAAATGTTCAATGTTATCAAAGATTTATCTTTGACAAACTATTTCGCTTTTTGAAATTAAATCCAAAATAGTATTATTTAATTAGATTCAAAAAAAATTTTTTTTTTAGTACCACAACTATTTATAGAGCACTTTTAAATGCAAATTTGCAAAATTTAAAAGATTGAATAAATTCTTTACAAAAATGAATGCTATTTACAGCACCAGACTGATAATGAGAGATCCGGTTGGTATCACCTCAAAAACTGGATCCGTTCTTGTGAATGAATATGGCAAAGTTACTGACAAGAAGAAATAATCCTACAATAATAATTTTTTTTTTTTTTTTTGATTCTGAAAATTTAATTGTATTGCAATCTGTTGAATTGCTATATAATTTTAGCTAAACGAATTATGATTATTTGAGAGATTTCATTGATACAAAAGATAATTTCAGCAGTAAAATTGCATTGGTTCTGAAAATTCTGAAAAGAAAAAAGTTAAAATAAATTAATAATTTCACTATCAAATAATTATTTTTCAATTTATCGAGTAAATACTATTTCTTATTTTTTTTTTTTTTTTGCATCTTATATTTCTCTTTGATCTTATTTTTCCCCAACTTTTTTTACATTTCTTTTCCCATTTTTCTAATCTTTCGTCAATTTTCAAGAATTAATTAAAATTTGAAGCATTAAAATTTTCTAGACATAGCTGAATTTCAAAACTTAAAATAAAGATATAGAATTATGAGGTAGAAATTGAATGGAATTAAATTTTTATAAAATTATGCAATTTGAAGAAGGATGGGGAATAAACGGTGAACAGGTAGAAATTTCGAATACTATTCTGTTTGCTTTAAAAATTTCATATTTTTTCTTTTCATTTTCATTTCTCCATTCTTACAATTAAAAGAATTTTGATGTCCGAGATTCCAATTTTTTAATTTTTATTAACTTATCAAAAATTGTTGCTCATAAAAATCACTTTTGAATCATTTTTTTTTTTCTTCTAAATCACTGATATTTGATCAAATCATTCAAATATCTGAAAACATTGGACTGAAATACAAAATTGAAGTAAATCAGCAAAATTTATATGTAAAGAAAAAATAAAGCTTAGATTTTTGATTAATTCTCCAGCATTTCATCTTTTCTTGCTTAGTGCAAATTAAATTAGCAACTCGTAATTATTCCTATTTACAATGATATTTTAATTAAACATTCTAACAGATATACCATATTGATTAAATTTTTGTTGGTTAATTTCGCGAAATAATTTTATTTATTTCTCGAATTGCTTTTGTGACAATTGTTGTGACAATTCTTGATCCATTTAATGATAATTTTTTCTGCTTTCTGAAGACAATGATAGCATGATAAGAATACTTTGTTCTGATGATAAATTTTCCTTATCACTATACCTCTACAATTAATTTGTTTAATTTGAGATTTTTTTCATTTACATAATTAAATTTCTTTTTTTTTTTTATTTACAGATGGATATATTGCTGTAATAAATTTCTACCGTAACAATTGGGTAATAATTA